TCCATTTTTAATTAATTAAGTCTGTATTAACCAACTTTAGACACTTGTTGATAAATGTCCCTACAACAAAACATGCTCATTCACTAGGCTATGCCACTTCAGCTCTGTAAACTTTGCCACTAGTTGTCACAGAACTAAGTTCTAGATTATTTAGCACTTTCTGCATAGGAAGCCAAGGTTTTGAAATTAAGTTCCAAGTCCCACAACAAATAACCTTGGCCCTAGGGCTTTTCTTACAACTTCTAAATAGTTGAAACCAAATAATACCATCACAATTATAATTTTAGTGGATGTTTTAAAAAAAATCTAATGGAAGAAGTTGAAATAATTATTTTTTAAAGGGCTTGAGACTTAACAGACTATTTGTGAGTGTGGAGCAATGATAATTGCATGTATTGAAGACGTTCAGGTTTTTAGAGTCCTGCTCTTAGGATGTAAAATTAAAACTGCTACACACCTCACTCTACCACCTTCACAAACTTATTACCTCCTAAATCAATTTCATAAGGCCCTAATTTGAACAGTTTGATTTGCACAGACTTGAGCTACAATAAAAAAAATATTCTCTCCCTCTCATGCAACAGCCTTAATACCTTTAACAAACACTGATTAGTAATCTCCAAAAATGCTTATGCAAAAGATAATACAGTGTCCTTCAGAAAAGAAAAAAACAATTGTTACACACTAGCTTGAAGCCCATCTGAAACCAGGCCTTTTTAATAGTGAAAATGTCTATTTTTTTCCACATTTGCATCATTTGAACTTGGTGTTATCTTTCAGCCTTCCTCTAGCACCCCTGTGTTCTGTCACGTTGATGACCCACTGCCACCTGCTACTACATTATGAATGTTCTGTTTGCTACACAGTGTCCTAGAGAGCAATTAGGATTCAGTTGACTACAAACATGCACATTGTCATGCTCTTGGCAAATGAAAATTTAAATAAATACTTCATGGGAAGGACTCTGAGGTCATACAGATGCCTTTCCAACCCTTTCAGTGCACCCCAATGATACCACAACTACGTGCACAGATACACACACATTTGGAAAATTTGGGAATCTGGCAGAAATGAAAACAAAAATTTAAAAAAAACAGAAAATTATTATACATGAGCATACATTTTAAAGTGATGTGCTTAGCTGAAAGAACTGTATTTGCATATTGAATTGATTTACCTTCTTGTTGTGTCTCCTCAGACTTCCTCCTCACGTGTATAACTCGGGGTCTCACAGTCTCAGCTCGTGCAGCTCCTTGCCCTTCCTCCTACACATCATACATTAACATCATATTAGCCATCTGACTTTGGGTGTAACAAGCACAGCAAAATGATGTGGAGCTTCAAGAAACATCCCAAGAGGTTTTTAAAGATTCATTAAAGCACTTGTTCTCCTTCCTGTTGACTTCAAAAGAATTCAAATCTGAGTTAGTCTGTTGCAAGGCTATTTCCCCTAGACTAACATCCTGGGAGCAGGACAGATGGCAAAGTGCCAGCTAGTCCTGAAGACACAGGAGACCCTCAATTTCTACTCAAAGTGTGTGTGGTGGACAGAATGTAACATTTCCCTGGCTTTCTTCAGCACCCCAGGATTCCTCCCAGGTAAAAAAAGGAAAGTTGAAAAGGAAAAGAGAAACAAAATGTTCAGCCCACATGTTGGAAAACCCACACCAAGTATAAAATTTATTGCTTTAACCATGTTTTTGAAACCATTTTCCACTCTTCCTGAAATTCTCTTCAGGATCTAGGTTTGCAACAATGGGAAGACAGTTTCTTAGAAGCAACCAATGCTCTGGGTGTTAAAAAGGGAGATATATTTGTCAAGTACACTTGTCATCTTATGTGTTAAATGCAACAGGAATTGTGGGCCAAGGACATTCAACTACATGTAGACAGTAAACATGAAAAGTACAAAATGTGAGACTCATGGAGACCTAGAAGACTTAAGCATTCTCCAAGACAAATAAATTTAATGTATCAGCTAATCCCACAGATAAACACAAGTTTTCTAATGAAGATTCTTAAAAAAGGAGGATCACAAGAAAGCTTATAAATGTTTGCATGTCACACAGCATCTGGCACCTGCAGACAGAACTGCTGTGTGACTTCAGGGAAAATGATATCCCTGAGAAGCAACGGCATGTGTTGAAGAGCTCTTGAAGATATAGTGACAAAGTATTGGTGGTATTTTATTCCCCAAAAAAATAAAAAGGAAGGAAAGTATACTTCAGTTCCACAAGAGAAATCCCCCACTACTGTGGAAGCCACAAGTGAAACAAACAGCCAAAACCAGAGATGAAAGCAAGAACATTTCAATGTCTGGGGAACAGTAAGCATGGTGCCAACCACACCACCAGGGCTTTGCGTTTTTTTCAGCTAACAACTGGCTCCTATGATAAGAGGAATCTCAACAGGAATGACATTTCTTCTCAATGATCATTTAAGCCAGTGTTGCAAAAATCAGAAGGAACAAGAAGATAAGCCCCTAAGTCACTGTCTTTTCCTTAATGGCTGCATGGACATGTTTACACTCCCCAGAGAACAAACTGTAGAGAGGGCTACACCAGAGGACATCATGTCATCTCTAACGTGCCCTGACACAACCTCACCAGCACAGCAGTGAGCTTGAGCTGTCACAATTGAAGATAGACACATGTGAGATGAAGCTGGCAGCTTGGCAAGGCACTATGTGCACGGACAGACCCGTGAGGATTGGTGCTAACTTGGGCACCTCTACACACCTGGATATTGACCAACACTAGTCACTGTTTAAAGCCGACAAAATGAGAAAGAGTTGAGATGGTTTTCTGAAAGCAGGAAGGTCTCATGGAAATGTGACTGAAGGCCACCAATGTTACAGAACATGTAAGCAGCATAACAGCATACTTAGGAGTGCATGTGAAGTGGGTTTTTGTTTGGGTTTGGATTTTTAATAAGACAAACCAAAAAAACAGTTTAAACTCAACTGAGGTGCAAACAGAAGTGGAGGTAACACAGATTCATAACCTACAATTATGCATTCCTGGAAGATTAAAAAAAACATTTCTTTTGAAAGACTAAAAATGAAAGCTAATGAGAATACCAAAGTGACAATCCCACCTAAAAAATGTTGATTGTACAAAAACATTCATACTAATATAAGAACATTATGAAAATATTTTGCAACCACCCGATTTTCTAAGATTTTTAACAATGCATTTGGGAATTCAAGTTATGTAGGTTTACCATCTTTGAAATGTTCAGCCAGAAAAACATGACTTTCAATGTTCACGTCCCTCCCATGATCAAAATGATTTATCTAGAACAGGAAGAGCTCAGCTTGCCCTTCTAGTCATCTCTTACTTCTTCAAACTGAGAGCACAGGGGGAAAGTGGCCACAAATAACAGTTAATCCCTGTATTGTTGCACAAGAATGGACAGCAGGGTCAAACCAAAGATGCATTTAGTCTGGCATTCTAACAGTGACTAAAAGCATATATAAATCTAAAAAAAAATTCCAATGCCAGAAATGGAGGAGCAGTCAAAGAATTTGGGAAGATAAGAAAATTCCAGTATGACTCAAGCCATTTGTTTTGGAGTGAGTGATCACAAAGATTTCACTCTTCATGACTAAAAGACGTTTACTCCTGCTATACATGAAAAGCCAATGTTCTTTCTGTTGGCCAAAACCTGACCTACACGCCAGTGCCAGGGAGGAAACACATGGTATGCATATGGCAGCTCCATGCCACTGCCCACAGCCTCTCTGAAACCAGGATCCTGTTCAGGTAGATTCCAGAAACCACCCAAGCTTTGCCATAACAAACCCTAACATCCATTAGGACTTTTCTCAGTTAAATCAGAAGAAAGATCCACCAAAGCTAAGTTCCAGTTGGACACCATATGAAATACAGTGTATTTTCTCAGGTCTCGCAACAAACACCATGAAAAGTCAAGTTTTGCTCCCAAATAGATTTGTCTTCTTGCTTTGTATGTAGCTGATACAGTTTCATTTCAATGAAGGCAAAACTGCCTAGAGATGAATAACAAGATGTGAAACAACTGATGTGAGAACTCACTGACTAACTTGGGAAGAAATCTTTTAAGAAGTTTAAAGTGATTATTGCTTTAAACACTGAATAGAATGAATCATTCTGAAGGCCTGACTATCTCTTGCTCTCTTAGGTGGTATTATGCCACCAGAAAATCTGTTTCCTACAGGCAAGTGACAAAGCAGATCCATCCCTAACTGCAATTAGGGAAAAGGTGCATAAAGTCATAGAATGGTTCAGTTGGAAGGCACCTTAAAGATTACCAACTTCCAAACTCCCTGCTATGAACAGGTACACCTCCCACCAGACCAGGCTGCACAAGCCTCATCCAACCTGGAATACCTCCAGGGATGAGGCAGCCACAGCTTCCCTGGGCAACCTCTTCCAGTGCCTTACTGCCCTCATGGTGAAGAATTTCTTCCTGATGTCTAACCTAAATCTCTCTTCTTTCAGTTTAAAGCCATTACCCCTTGTTTTCTCACTCCTTGTAAAAAGCCCCTCCCTAGCTTTCCTGGAAGGTGCTCTAAGGTCTCCTTGGAGCCTTCTCCTCTCCAGGCTGAACAGCCCCAGCTCCCTCAGCCTGTATTTATCATTGTTACCTAGTAGACAAATGCTGTCAAAACAAGCTTTCATATCATCTGGTACAGTGATTTTAGTTTTTCAGAGAAAGGTGTACAAAAACTAGTAGAGAATGTTATATCTCTGCCCCATCCAGGACAGATGTTTACAGTGGTTATTGCTTATAGGAATGGTCACTTCATAGGGAAACAAAAAATGTAGCCTGTGAGAAACAGTGAGTTAGAACACCCACATTCAGGAAGATTATTTTGTTGTGGAGGGGGAAACAACAACCCAAAACATGTAAAACCACACACACCAAGTTCAGGGTTGGTTTGGAGGGAGGGTGAGTTTTATATGCCAGCTTTCAAATGAAAAAAAATTTAAAATAAATCACACTAAGAATTCAGATGCAAGGAAAAGTTTTTAAAGATAAGATAATATAGAAAATATTTTTATATTTTCTATGAAAGACACCATGTCAGAACACCTTACATGTCTTGCATAGTTAAGACTATATGCATGAGTAACTTACACATGGTACATTATCATTTGCTTGTACCCAGGCAAACAAAAATCAATCCTAACCCCATCAGCTAATTCTCCAGAGCAGGAGATGAAGGGATCACTGGGATCTTTATCACAGCTAATGGTGCTGATAGAAGGAAACACATTTTACCCTCCTGATCCCTGTTACTTTGGCTAATGAAATGATAACAAGGGTATGAGCTTCATGCCAAAAGAATCCAGTCCTGCCTGTGAACAGTCATCACAAGAAGCAATATGTTTTAGTGATCTCAACATGAAAGCCATAACACTGAAAATCTTTTTTGAAGATGCAGCACATTGCCTCAGATTTAAGAACTGCTCAGACACCAATGACACAACACACATCAAGGCTCAAAGATATAAAACCTAAGACAGGTCAATATAAGATACTTCAGGCTGAGTATATAGCATTAGGGAAGGGCAGAATGCACCCATGAACACAGCAACCATGGGAAGCAGAGGATTACTTTCAAGCACACTGTGAAGCTTAACATATTAAAGAGCAATCTGCCACCTCATGTTTAGCTTTTACCACTCATTATTTGAATTTCTCTGTAGTTAGCAAGTAAACCATCCTCTCTAGGTAACAGCACATGCTAATAAAGGAGCAATGGATTAACTCTGTAGGTTTCAAACAGAAATCAACAGGATCTTCCTCTATCTTTAAGTACTCTAAGGTATATCATTACCACCTTTCCAACCCTGCCCCTATAGGGACAACTGAAGCTCCTGAAGTGCTTAATCAGCGGGTACACTTGGTGAGGCCAAATCTCTAGTGTTGCTGCCTCTCTCATATAGCCATCATGTTATTCTTCTGTATTTGAAGCACCTCCAAAACATTGGAATGCCCCATCTTCTGTGATTCTGTGAACTGGGTATGTATGGTCCTGTGAGACCAGTGATGACGTGAAGTGCAAAAAAGGTAAAAGAAGGTCTAACAGAAAGCACATTATAAGGATTCCACCACAGTAAGCACAATCATTTTTATTACAGACATGTACTTTTGACTTTAGTTTCTCAGCTGAATGTGTCACTTTAAATGAACCAGTTCTGTAATGTCAGTTATCACAGTGAAATAGGAAAATTTATTTTCCTACATTTCAGTTTCCACTTTCTGACTAGTCAGAAAGATCTTTTGAGTTTACCTGAGACAGATCCTCTGAGAGAGGAGACACTCTGCAGCGTGGTTGGGCTGCTTGCAGAACAGGATTTGAAACTTGTGATTCCACTTCAGCCATAAGCATTGGACCATGACTTGTATCTGCATCTGCAAGAACTTCTGCTGAGGAAGAAAAACAAAGAGGAAAAAAGTCCTTGATGAGCTGCAGCAATATTCTCCAGGTCAACTCATGTGGCAAGATGTGGAAGCCTCCCAAGCCTCAACAATGGGACATGCAATGTTAAAGAGAATTATTTCTTCCTTCCACAGTTCATTGTATATGCCTTAAATTGTTCTTATGAGGAAAAAAAGTAATAAGAAATACATGTCTGTGGAAATTGGAAATAATAAATCAGTTTTATCTTCTGTAGATTTCTAACATGGCAAGTATTTATGATAGCTTCAAGGCTGTATAGTTCCATCATACCATTACATGCTTAATGAGCTATGTCACACTTACAGGAAAGAGATTGGAAAGCCTTCTTCATGAAAATGTTTCACTGTGGTGTGAATGAAACCTGTATATAGCCTTTTCAAAAGCCATAATTTGCTATATAATCCAGCACTGATCATGCTTTTGCAGCCTGTAAGTGTGTAAAGCATTTTAATGAAAAATGCACTGACGGTTCATGAACTAACTTTAGCCTTCTGCTGAAGTTGAGCCAAAGAATGAATTTTAAGCCTAATTAATTATAATTCTTGCTTAATTAACTGTCACTATTGTTCACTTTAAGACTACATGTGCTACATTCCATTTGCATGTTGGTTTCTATACCCATGACTGAAAACAAGGATTTCTAAAGGAATGATCATTGAGATGCTGCTACATACCTATACAAGCAATACCTTCCCCATGCTAGAAACAGGCATCATGTTTCCATGACACAGATAAAAAAACTGGTCACAAAACTGAAGATATCAATAGACACACAATCCCCAGAATTCTTACAGATCTGTGACTCATTCTGACAAAGAAACCGAGTATCCACTGCAAGGTTGTATGTACAGAGATACAGACCACAAAATTCATGAACTTTTACACCTGCTGGTGTTACAGGTATTTAATATTACTCCTAAAAGTAATGATGAAATAAAATGATGGACCTGCACTGAACTGTTGTGGCAATCAGGAGGTAGCACTTCATCCTGACTTGGGGGAGACTGAAGGACATGCCATCTCACATACCAGTGTACAGATCCAGATTTGGAAGAGAAGTGGAAACAATCACAGATCATTCCTTCCCCTCTTCCACCTTCCCCCGAGAACAGATTGTTTCCTATTCAGTGTTGACTTCACTATCAAAAGGACTTGGAAATAAGATGTTGTGTTCCTCCCTAATATGAAAACACTTGTGTCTTGATAGCAGATCCTAGTTGTTGTACAAAGTTGTTTCCTTGGCACTCTCAGTGAACACTCTGTTGTGTGTTCAGAGATGTTGAGGGAGGGAAGCTAAACGGTTACAGTTCTAGTTTCAGCTGAATAGAAATAACTATCTTGCTTTACCACAGCAACATATTCCTGCACTATTTTGCACAAGCCATTTTGTGTGCTCCTCAGCTACCCAGCTGGGAAAAAAAGAATTTCCATATTGTTACAGGACTATATAAAGCTAAAATATATTACCAATTTTAAGACACTGTAGTATCACCTTGATGTAGTGATAAAAGCAAAGAGGAGTGCTGTGTAAGAGGACAGGGAAGCAGCTTGAACTGCTGGTGACTGAAGCTGAATTTGACTTAAAATATATACTTTAAAATCAACTTTTCTCTAGGCAAATGGGTACTTGATAGGATTTTGGTTCAAATGGTAGTATAATTACAGATGAAAGAGAGTAAAGACACAGCTTGAATTAAATCCAGTTCTCAGAACAGGATTGCTAATAATTTCATTGAAGCATGAGCCTGTAAGTTTGTAATATTGAATGTACATTCTGAAGTTGCTTTATATATTGTTATAGAAGAATCCACATAAATATCACAGAGAAGAAGTAACAATCTAATTGTACCTCCAATCTGGGCAAGCTGCCCTGGTGATGGAGAACGGAAACCGGGGCGTGGCCTGTTCCCAGGAGTCTGAGCAGCAGGGTGGTCCCTATAAACTGAATGTCCCAGTAGGATTCTCTCTGCTGCTCTGGTCAGCCTTGGTCTTTGACCCTCACTGAGCTCCCCAGCACTTTCATCAGAATCCTACATGGAACAGCAACAGCAGAACAACAGGTATAAGAAACCCCAGTGGATTTCATCCCAAACCAGGCACTGTTACCTAATTACATTACCCCTTCCATCACACATCAACTTAAGTCTATACTATTAGCTTTGAATAAAGAAAAGTGAAACTGAAGAGATACCATCCATCTGGGCTTGAAAGCAAGATCTACATTTATCAGTACTGGAGAGAAAAGAACCACTTACAGTCAGAGAACATAGTCAATTGTATCCCAGCATGCTCAGAGCCTGAGTTGTATTTTTAGCACATGAAGTCTTAAAAGTTAGACATATGGCCATTGTTGATCGCCTGACCTTGCAATACTGGGAGCACCAAAAACCTATAGACTCTCTTTGTTTAGCATGTCAGATAAAAAAGTTCAATTTTAAAGTAAATTTGGAATGCACTTAAAATAGGGAAGGTTCTCTGGATTTTGATTTTGAGAAAAAAAGACCTTGTTTCTATGCAGGAAAACAGGTTGAATACACAGATGTGTAAAGCACCATTCTAAGGCAATACTAGGAATATCTAAGAGAATATTTTTGCTTTTATAAGCAAAGAAGGGCAGGCTTGCACACACCAGAATCTAGGGGGAATTTATTAAGTGTCTTATATGGACACACTGAGCAGTCCGTGGCTGTGGGAAAGAGAAAAGGCAAATTAGAGATGCATTTGTAACTGGCAGTGCTGATGAGAAAATGTCACTACAATTACAGCCAGACTCAGAGCTCACACTGTAGAAAGCTTTTCACTAAGTCCATCCACCAGAGCTCATTAAGTAAAATAAAGACAGACAAAGGGACAGTTAAGGAGGTGAGTGAAGCTAGTAATTATTTAGACTAAACTGACCAAGACAGAAGGAAGAAACTGCACAAGCATCAATAAAATCACAAAAAGCAAGATCTGCCACAAATAAAGGTGTTCATGAACCATATTGCAGTATTCACAGTTCACTTCCTTGAAATGTTCCTCCAGCTATGTCAGTTAGAACAGATGCCCAGTCCAAACTACTATTTTCCACCTAGAAAATATTTAGATGGGTGACCAAAAAAATCCCTTTTGTCTATTGCGATGCAGATAGTTACATTTTTGTTAAGTCTGCTTTTTCTGCCAACTGAATATGAACATTCTGAGGTTTTGTTCCAAGAGTAGTATCAACAGCATGTGCACAAGTACATGTACAAAATTTCTGAGTTATTTTTCATAGCTCCCTAAAATAGCTCCATAGTGTTCAAAATTACAGGAAAAATCTGGAACACTGGGACAGTCTCCTACACACCTTGAAAAACACGTATATGTGGTACTATGGACAGCTAACTTGTTTGTAACAATATTTAACCTTTTATGGTTTTAAAAAGTTTTACACAGGAACACAGCCAACAGAAGTGGGATCACTCCCAGAAGGGAATGAAGTGGGTGAACCTATTCTAAAATCAACAGGAAAGACAAACTTGAAATATTTTACCTACTTTTGAGTAGGAAACTATCACTTCAAAACTACTGTAGTGGAAGGAAAAGAACTGTGTGTTACCTCCACATAGTATGTTCCTTCTTGTGCAGCAACAGGTGCTTGATTTAATTTGGATAAAAGAGTCAAGACAGGATCCCTGTGATAGCTTTTATCCTGTCTTCTCACCACTTGCCCTTCACTGGGAGGATCATAATCCTGAAACAAATAAACAAAAGGCTCACAATCATGATACAAAACTGTTTTTTTCTCAGAAGCAGTTAAATGCTCACACATGGTGGTTGCTTGAAATGATCTGGCTGCAGAGCTGCTCTCTCTCCAGCAAGGATTTAGCTTCCTTAGCCAGAGGGCCTAGTTTGAGGACAGAGGATTGTTGGAAGGAGTTACAATCCAGCTGACAAAGAGAGGGAAGAACATCTTAGCAAACAACATTTCTAGCCTGATGAAAGAACTTTAAGTTCACCTGCCAACAGAATATAAGAGAGGGAGTGAGGCAGTGTGCTGGTCTGGTTCTGGTATGGTTTCAATAGTGGGGAGGGGCCCCAGGAGTGGCTCCTGTAAGAAGCTACTAAAAGCTCCCCTGGCTCAGGGGAAGAAGGTGCCTGAGCAGAAGTTCCTCTGCAGCCAATGGCAAGATGGCAGCTGTCCCCCTGCATTCATGGAGAAGCAAGGCTGAGTGTCCCCTGAAGGCAGCAGGGGGGGTGAATGTGGAGCTGCAGCCTTTGGACTTGGATCTGCAGCCATGGAGTACCCGGCACCACGGGAGGTTCCTGAACCAGCCCGTGACTCGGTAAGAAGCCCAGGCTGGATCAGCTTGCTCCTGAGGGACTGCACCTCGTGAGAAGGACTCATGAAGAAGAGGTTCATGGCGGACTCTCTCCTATGTGAGGGACCCTGTGGGGAAGCAGGGAAGGACTGTAAGGAATCCTTCTTCCTGAGGAGGAAGGAGCAGCAGGAACCACCAGCCTGTGAACTGACTCTAAACCCCATCCCCCTGTGTCACTGGGGGGAAGGAGGGAGAGAAACAGGGAACAAAGTGATTTGGGCCCAGGAAGAAGGGACAGGTGGGGTAACATATGCAAGCCCTGCTCTGTGTGTTGTCTGTGTCCTGTGGACATTGGACTAGTGGTAAATTAAATTATTATTTTTTTCCCCAAATTGAGTCTGTTTTGCCCGAGACCTTAATTGGTGAAGAACCCTCCCTGTCCTTTGTCTTGACCCTTGAGCTTCTAGTTGGCCTTTGTCCTCCCCATCCATGTGTGTGTGTGGCTGGGGGGGTAGTTAAGTGACCGGCCACAGGGCTGGTTCTTTGTTGTCTGGTTAGGCCCAAACTACAACAAGCAGACAGAGGAGGTGTCCAAAGGGAAGCCCACAAAGGGACCATTTGCGATCTTGATCAAGAGGAAGGACATTCTCCTCAAGTGTCTCTACAATCAGATGGCAAAGTCTGGACAACAGACAAAAAGATCTGCAAGTTCAAGACACAATCCTCCAACTATGACATGAATGAAATAAAGGATATTCAATGGGAAAGTTAGCACAAGTGCAGTATGGGCATGTATAGGGAGAAATGTTTCCAAAGGACATGCAGGGAGAAGAAAAGGAGACTCCTACTCTAGGACATTTAAACTTTGCATTACTGAGGTTGGAATGGGCTTCTGGAGATTGTCTAGTCCAACCCAACTGCACAAGGCAGCACCTCTTCCAGTTTTTTGCCACCCCCACAGTAAAAACATTTCTTATCTTTAAACAAAATTTCCTCAATTTCAAGCTGTGTCCACTACTGCCTGACTTTTGGCTCCATCTTCCCCACTTCCACTCCTTCCCATCAAGTGTTTACACACATTAATAAGATCTTCCCCCAAGCATTCTCTTCTTCAGGCTAAATGATCCAAGGTCTCTCACAGTCTTTCCTCATATGACAGATGCACCAGTCCCTTGACCATTTTTGTAGCCCTTTGCTGGACTCACTCCAGTAAATCCTTGTCTTTCTTGTACTGGAGAGCCCATAAGTGGATACAATACTGCAAATGCTATCTCACCAGAGCTGATGAACATGTTAAACAGCACTGGTGCTGGCATTGAGCCCTGGCATACACCACTAGTGACTGGGCTGCAGTTAGAAACTGTACCACCAACCACAACCCTTCCAGCCCAGTAGCTCAGCCAGTTTCAGTCCCAGGTCACATAATTCCTTGAATTCATCAACTTCCATATGTCTATTGATGGCCTGAGACAGGATGAGAGAAGAAAGAAACACTGGGGATGTTATGGGCAGGGTCTGCTTCAGAGCATCTAACCGACAGAAAGTAAGAGGAGGCTTTCTACAAAACATAAACAGGGGGCTGATGATTGCAGGTCTTCATCCACATGGCAGATTTCAAGAATCTGGACATCTTCCAGAAGAGACACAGCACTGGGGAGGCAGCCCAGGAAGATTTTAGAAATCTGTCTGGAAGTCCCTTCCAACCAATACCAATAAAATTTCACTATCAATTTTCTTTATTCTTTCATAAAGAAAACAATTTGGTTTAAGCACAGTAGGATTCTACCTGACACAATCATTTACATGACAGCTATGTCCTACCAAGAGACATTACACAAAGTCAGAGAGGAAAAGCCCAGGTATTTGAAAAAAAGTGTTAGAAGAGAAAGGGAATGGAGAGTACCTTGACCTGGGAGGCTTCCAGGCAATGGACTAGAGCAAATATATGATAAAAAAGCTATACTGAAGTTTTAAGCAGCTTTAACTAACTCAGCCAACCTACTTGAACAATATAAGCACTTAAGTAATTAGAAGATGGCTCAAAGCTGAAACAGCTCAGAGCATAACAATGTTCTATTCTGTTCAAGTTGTTCTAAAACTAAAAATAATAAAGGGATGAAAAAGTGTATTAGCTATCTCTCACCTACAGAAGGATATAAACCACTCAACCTTTTAAAAAATGTAAATTAGTTTGTACAATGTGCTTTTTTTCTTTGGAGCTCTGAAATTCTAACATTCTTTCTAAGTCTACAGTTTAAAAACACAAATTTAAAGAGGTTCTAAATGAAAATGCTTAAAACACATCCAATCTCTCAAGATTCTCAAGTTAGGACACCACACTAACTCAGTTTCCATGTGAAACATCTCCTTACCATTTCATTGGCATCTTGTAAAGTGCTCATTAAGCTCTCAGCAAGGTTTGGAAGAGACAATCCTCCTTCTGCTAATCCTGAAAAATATTTTAAGTTACAAATACTAAAACCCATGCAAGCTACATGAAAGAAAGCCAAGGCCACATTCTTGAACAATTGCTACACAGTGCTTTAGCAAAGCTGAGAATTCCTACTACTGGATGTGTATTATAGAGACATATTTTCAGCTTCCAAGAAAATCACTCTAACACTGTTTTCCAATAAAATTTAGTACCACATGGCACTTGTGCAAGACAGTCCCCATTATTTTCCAAGTTGATCTTCTGACAAAAAAGCAGATTTAATCTTTTCTCATGAGTAAACAGAAGTGTTTTGTTATGAGACAAGGAAAAAGAGCAATGAGGTCTCTTAAATCCAAAACCATTAATTGAAAGTTAGAGACCAACTTAATGCTTCCATTTGTATCAGAAAATGTATGAAATGTAACTTCAGTAGACTGGAATTTTATGAAGGGAAAAAAAAAAATAAAAATCAATCCTAATTCCAATTTCCACTAATTTATCTAGTTTGTTACCTCTTGCAGGTAGCACCTGTCCAGAGCTGACAAGAACCTCTCCTTCTGAGATGGGTCTGGCTGCAGTTTCTGTGTCTGTCTCTGTGAGGGTGAGGCCACTTTCCTGGGAGGACTGCTCAGAACTAACTGTAGGCACAGGTGATGGAACCTGTGGACTGCAAGGAAGCAATTCCAAGGACTTCACTGATGATTGCTGAGATGGTAAAATCAAGGCCTCTGGTTCCTCCTCATTGGCCACTGACATCTCACTGCAGTGTAAGAATATGCATTGTGAATACAACAAAACATTGAACAATATAGACTGAAGTCTTAAAACAATACTGAAAAAAAAATAAATTGCAAATATTGTTTCAATTGAAACAGCACAGCATTTTACAGATCAGCCCAAGAATCAAAATGGTTAAATAACATTATTAATGAATGGGAAACAAAATGGCCTACAGGAGAGCCAGGGAGGGACTTTTTAGAAAGGCTTGAAGGGGTGAGACACGGAGTGATGATTAAAACTGGAAGAGGGGAGACTTAGGTTGGACATTAGGAAGAAATTCTTTTCTGTGAGGGTGGTGAGACCCTGGCCTAGGTTGCCCAGAGAAGCTGTGGCTGCCCCATCCCTGGAAGTGTTGAAGGGCAGGTTGGATGGGGCTTGGAGCAACCTGATCCAGTGGGAGGTGTCCCTGCCCATGCAAGGGGGTTGGAACTGGATGAGCTTTAAGGTCTCTTCCAACCCAAACCATTCCATGATTCTATAAATTTCTGTTTATAACTAAAAATCACCACAGGCATTCCCACTGAGGTTATAGAAAAAATAAAATGCTAGTAATATAATATTTCATTGTTGCTCTATTTATTACTGGCAGGTGTAACAAAAACAGTTTATTAAGTACAATGTGCAACAGGACAGTGAATTTGGTCCAGTAAATTCTGAGAATGGTCCTGTTTCCACATTTTTGTCCAAAATACGACTCAAGCAAGTTAAAAAAAAAGAATCCTGGCTTATCTCAATGCCTCCTGAAATACACATTAATAAATTCTCTACCAACTTCTTGAGGACATGCATGGAAATAAAATACTCATTTTTTTTAAGAAATGAGAAAATGGAGCAGCCTGTTCAACTCACACAGCCTTGGGATGGAATGGTTCTTCAGTTAAAGGACTGGGTTTCTCTTCTTCCAGAGGAAGTTCTGCATCATTCCATGGGTTTGAAAGCTTTGGCCTTTCCATCTTTGCAGCTTCAGAGACCCATTCTGCAGCAGGAGGGCTTGGTGTGGTTATTCTAGGAGGTGTATTGACAGGGGTAACCACAGGTGTGCCAACGTGACTAGGGGCAGCTGGAATCTCAGCTCCTGCCATGTGTGAAGTCAAATTTCAGATTATAAAAGAAAGCACAAAGTAAACCTCAGGCAGAGAACTAGTTAGTTCTAGTCAGCTCTTCTAGTTTTTGTGATACGTTTGATACTTATGGAGACAAGACTAGATTAAGGCTAGTTTCTTCACAGTACAGCACAGGCATCTGAGAGAGCTGAAGTAAACCTCAACCCCTTCTTTTAATAAGTGAGTCTTCTCTGCATTTTAATAACTAGACTGCTTTACTTGGAGAATGTCAATTTGGCTTAATTAACATTATAAACACAGGAAGGAGCAAAGAGCTATTTTCCTGATGTGAAGAAGTGTGGAGAGGCTGGGAGGGGTAGAAATCACATAGACCATAAAAATGTGCATTAAGTTTGAAAATAGAATTGTTATCACACAGAAGACATTGGCTCTTTATATGAATTAGCCCAACATTTTTATACTATATGAGTTCCCACTTGAATTATAGCCTCAAGAACATTCAACCTGAGAGATAACATGTCTTTGAAGAAGAAAATTAAAGACAGTAGATTAAAGCATATTTGCTACTTCTAAACTTCAATTATTATTTTCACTACCTGTTTCTGTAATTTTTTCATGTTCATGAACATCCCCACTCGTTTCTTTAAGAGACAGAGAAGATTCTGGAGTTCTGACTGGAGGCAATTCTTTTTCTGAAGGTGGTGTTGGTGGTGGTGTGGCCTGGGGTGTTGGCAATGGTGTAGGCACAAGAGACTCCTGAGGGGAAAAAAAAATTGTAACCACAGTTGTTATCTCAGTGTAAAATTCCTATCTTACAAGTATCCCCAGAGATAAGCTGAGGAGGAGAGAGAAAGGCAGGTTGTCACAGAGCAGGAACAGTTGTTGCTTAGATACATGCTTCATGGATCTAAGTCCTCCATCTGAACATCAAGTTGCACCAGGCTAAATGGCATAGCTGCACAAAATACATTAAAAACCAGTAAATTATGCATTAGAATGATTACATTTAGAAATAATTATGTCTAGAATAGATTATTTCAGTTGGAAGGGACCTACAACCATCATCTAGTCCAGCTGCCTGACCAATTCAGGGCTGACCAAAACTTAAAAGTATCTTGTTAAGGGCTCCTCCTAAAAACTGACAGGCTTGGGGCATCAAGCACCTCTCTAGGAAGCCTGACCACCCTCTGGGTAAAGAAATGCCATTTAGACATCCAGTCTAAATATGAATTCTATCATTCTGTGAATTTTAATAAAGCATTTGATACACTGTTAAACAAGAAAATATTTTGTGACATGGATAAAATTGAGTCAGTCTGATGATTTTATGGCAAGAGAATCAGCTAAAGAGAAGATTACCAAGCAATAGCCAAGACAGCAAAGCACTAAAATAAGCACAAACATAGCTGTGATGTTCCTTAAAAAATGACAGTGATGGAGATAAATCTGACAATCAAGTACAGTGGTTGTCATTTAGGCTGCTATGGAGGAATATGATGGAACTTTCCAGGTTTTTCCAGCCTGTTCTCTGACATTTCATTAAAAAAACAAGATAATGGGTCTAAAAAAAGGCTTAGAGGCAAGTTTTTGAAGCATAAATCCTCAGACTGGTGATTTTTATTAAAAAACTTTTTGGGAAGTGGAACATTTGGCAACTCGTGCACAACTGTGTGACACCATGAACACCAAAGAACTTGGTAACTCCACCTCAAGTTCTGTGTTGGAAACTTCATGGTCAGAAGAGCTGGATCAAGAATGCACGAGCTACATATGCAACAACTTCTGCTATAAACTGAGCAGCAATGACAAAAAGGAAGAAAAAAATACAAATGTACAAGTTACCCAAAGGATAACTACTAGCCACGAAGGTGGAAAGACTTTTCAAAAAACATAATTAGCCACCTGAGATTCCAAGAAAGGCAGGACAATACCACTACCATAGCACAAGGCACTGAAGAGACCCTATCTTAGATACTACGTTACTATAAAAAATGTCTGTTAGCACATTAGTGTTCCCCATGGCCAAGTCCAGCCTAAATTGGAAAACATAAAAGTGCTGCCCATCAGCAAGGCTCAAAAAATGGTACAAATATGGATGATTGCTTTGTTCAGAGTAATCAAAGGCAAAAAAGGAGAAAGTAAGCTCTTTAAAAGTGTGCCAGTGAACATATATAGTAAGGAGAAAACAACCATTTCAGCCTAAGGATGTTTTGGTCTGAGCTGGTACAGAAACAAGAAGGCTTAAGAGGGCCTTAAGTAAACAGAGGATGGTTTTTAGAGGAGGTTGCTAAGTATCTGAAGAACAAACTACAAAAAACAGTCCACTCTAACATCACACCCTCCTTAATCTGCACTGCAGTGGGGAAGAGCACTTCAGATGCAGGATGGCTGCATTTAGGCCTAAAGCAGGGAAATTCTTATTTTTGGCTATAGAATAATTTGCTGGTGCTATACAGGCAGTAGCTGGTACTTCAGTCTACATTCACTGTGGAAGAAGGAAATAATTGATCTCACTTTCAACAAAGCTTTGAATAGTTAGATTTCTAGGCACAGCAATTTTCACATTCATCCCCAAAACATTATACAACACCAGATTGTAGCACACTTATCAAAGTAAGAGCCAGCTGTCATTTTATTATCAAAGAGAATAGACAAAATTACTCTGTGTTCCAGGAAGCTCTACTAATACTAATCATTTAAGCATTTACTGAAAAGACCTACTTAAAACTTAAAATTAATCAATACCCATTTTTATACATACTAAAGAATGGCTGCAAGCCCATAAGACCAAAATGAATCATAGAATCATTTTGGTTGGAAAAGACCTTTAAGAACTTAGAGCACTTTCCAGTACCTGAAAGGCCTACAAGAAAGCTGGAGAGGGGCTTTTTAAAAGGGCTTGCAGTGATAGGACAAGGGGGAATGGCCTTAAACTGGAAGAAGGGAGTTTTAGATTAGACATTAGGAAGAAATTCATCACTGTACAGGTGGTGAGACAGTGGCCCAGGTTGCCCAGAGAAGCTGTGGCTGCCCCATCCCTGGCAGTGTTGAAGAGCAGGTTGGATGGGGCTTGGAGCAACCTGGGCTGATGGGAGGTGTCCCTGCCCATGTAGGGGGGTTGGAACTGGATGATCTTGAAGGTCCCTTCCAACCCAAACCATTCTATGGTTCCATGATGATGACTCTATTTCTTCTTATAGAAAGGAATCTTCTCTTCATATTTCCTTTCGTCACAAGAAAGCAAAATTATTTTTGTTGAAAATGACACAAGCTTTCTCTTGACAACATGATGTTACATACCATACCTTTCTCTTAGGAATCAGATATCAGTCCTGTGCTTAGTCTTCAAGTAAATCAATACAGCACATTATACATAGCACAAAGGAATTTTATTTTTTTTTTCCATTTTTTTTTTTTTAAGTTAAATACAGATAATATTGTTGCTTGCTGGGATATAATAAGGAATAATCAAAGAATGCAAAACATGCACAGTCAGTTCATCATTCTTTTTCTGTCACCTTTGTCTTGCATATAGTTGAACCACCATGACATGAAAACAACACCCCTTAAAACTTAGAATGGTTAAGGTTGGAAGGGACCTTAGAGATCCTCAGGTTCCAACCTCCCTGCTATGAGCAGGGACACCTCCCACTAGACCAGGCTGCACAAGCCTCATCCAACCTGGCCTTGAACACCTCCAGGGATGGGGCAGCCACTTCAGTAGGAAAGCTTAAGTAAAATACGCTCTTACCATCACAGTTGTACTTGGAAGAATATTTGTAGCAGCAACTGCTTCCTGAGCCTGCTTGTTACCCAGAAGAACATTTGTAGCAGGAACTGTTTCCTGAGCCTGCTTGTTCCCCAGCATGGTCTCAATTATCTCACTGAGAACTTCATTGACAAAATGACTTATCATTTCTGAGTCCACAGGCACACCAGCATTGACAAAGAGTTGAAATCCTCCACCACCTGCAACTTCAACTGAAAACAAGGAAACACAAAGCACACATCCAGCATTATCTACTCAGGCTCAGGCAACAGTCACCTACACAACTTACTAAAATTAGCCAAAAAATTGAGATAATCCATCTGCTGAGAACAAGAACTCCTACTTACCAATGTCAGAGGTTACAGTGTCACTGTCTTCACTCTCTGAGGTGCTAACACTGGGCACTGTTTCTTTCTGAACTGGGTACATTTCACTGATAATTTTTGCCATTATTTCTTGTTCCACCCTAGCAGAACAAAACCTGTTTAACTATCAGCACACACCAAGACACATATAAGTACAGAAAAGAGTATCCTTGACATAAAATGCAAGGCAGCTCAAAGGAAAGAGAAGGGAAGGGATGGGACGAGAGGAAGGGGAAGGTGTTCTTAAGGAGTCATTTCTTCTCCCATATATATTCTCTCACCAGTTTGTTATTTTGCAACTCACCAATTTATCAGCCTGTTTTCTATAGTTTCTCTTCTTTGAATCAGTTCATCCAAAACATCAGTAGACTGCTGAGGAGCAGAAGCCACAGGAGGAAACAAAGGACCATTGTATTTTGGCGAGGAAACTTTAAACTCTCCATTCAGCTCCAGAAGAGGCTCAAAGAATTCTGGAATTTCATCCCCCTCCTCTTCCTGATCCTAATAAATAAGTAGTAAATTAAGTTATGGGCCGTTTCGGGAAAGCAATAACATTGAGGTAACTGTCAAGATTTTTGTCTCTGAGAAACATTTGTAGACGTGTCACAGCACACAAACCACGTTCTCCCTTCTCAGTATGTTGTGGTTAATTGATACAATTCTAAACTTCACAAATCATAAATCTGTAGAGGTATAAGGCTATAAGGAACCACTAAGCCAAACATGATTTGGCTCAGATTTCCTGCCTGTGCTGCACAGGGCAGGGAGCCAATGGCAATGCTAATACTTGAGAAATTTACTTGTGACAAAAGTCAGGTTGTTTTAATATATACTCCAGAAATGCTCCTTCTTAATGAAAAAACAACAACAAAACTAAATGAAAAGGTTAGGAATCCTTCTACAGTTAATTGTTAGGTTGGGTTTGGTTAGTGTTTGTTGGGGTTTTCTTAGAAATTTGGCTTTTGCTTTAAAGTCTCCTGTCTGAAAAGATACAGTCCCAAAATTAACAGACATGCAGTGAGTCAAAATAATAAAGTTACCAGCACTGAAGACTGGACATGAATAGCTGACACACATGTCATATGTGTACTTCCACTTTCACCAACTTCAACAGGGGAAAGTTAAAAGGTATTTCTGGGTAATGCATTCAAAAGATCCTCACAAGCTCTGAATTTGCAGTGAAGATGGGCAGGGACTATTTGTCATATTCAGCTCTTTGAAACAGCTCGTTGTTCCCCAGGAAAGGTAGAGAAGCAACAGAATCACAGAATCATTCTTCTTGGAAAAGACCCTTAAGACCATCGAGTCCAACCATAACCTAACTCTACCAACCATTAACCCACCTCTATCAAGTGCAGTGCTTAAACCATGTTCCTTAATGTGCTATTTCTAAAAGTTATGGAAGTTACTCTGTGCAAGTTACAACGTTTGACTGTTTCCAAAGAAACATGAGCAAATACACAGGTTGGGTGGAGAATGGATTGAGAACAGCCCTGAGGAGAATGGGGGTGATGGTGGATGAGAAGCTCAACATGAGCTGGCAATGTGTGCTGGAGCCCAGAAAGCCAACTGTGTCCTGGGCTGCATCAAAAGCAGCATGGCCAGCAGGACCAGGGAGGGGATTCTGCCCCTCCACTCTACAGATCCCATGTGGAGTACTGAGTCCAGTTTTGGAGCCCCCAACATAGGAAGGATGTGGAGCTCTTGGAGCAAGTCCAAAGGAAGCTGTGGAGGGGATGGAGTGATAGGATGAGGGGGAATGGCCTTAAACTGGAAGAAGGGAGTTTTAGGTTAGACATTAGGAAGAAATTCATCACTGTGCAGGTGGTGAGACAGTGGCCCAGGTTGCCCAGAGAAGCTGTGGCTGCCCCATCCCTGGCAGTGTTGAAGGGCAGGTTGGATGGGGCTTGGAGCAGCCTGGGCTGGTGGGAGGTGTCCCTGCCCATGCAGGGGGGTTGGAACTAGATGGTCTTTAAGGTCTCCCTTCCAATCCAAACATTGTATGACTCTGTGATTAAGTCCCAAAAAGCAGTCACCAGCCCATCATATCATAATGTAACACTTTAGAAATGTCTCCTGATGGATGGAAACCTGCATCCTCCACTCATAATATTAAAAACAAATGTCTCTAATAGTAATATGATATCCTAAGAAGAAAATTTGGCATGCCAGCAAGAGATGAAGAGCTGAGCCCTAAATTATCAGTGAGAAGCACATGATGTTGCATAAAAGAGCTCACTGCAAGTCTACATTTACTAACATTAATCTACAACACAATGAAAGGAGAAAAAAAGCCTTCTTTTCCCTTACATAAATTAAATTTACTTTTAACCCACAAAATGAAAAACCCCTATATATTTTCTATGAATAAAAGAACAACTCACTAAAACCAGAAAGAACAGAGAAGGAAGGAAAAAAAAAGACAGGAGCATTTTCCTTTCTCCTTTCCCAACACAGCATTAGTGCTTCTCTCCTAACTTAATATACTTTAAAACCGAAAAGTCAGGTAGGTCCATGATAGGTTTTACAACAAATAGCTACTGGTGAGCAGGATCCTTCTGGATCTTAATAGTAATAATTCTCCAAAGAAGAGCTGTAACTTGGAAAGCAATCAAACCAGAATATGTCTATTTGGGTGACAAACAAAGATCTTGAAAGCATTCTAGCACAGAAATAAGACAGTGAAGTTAAACATGGAATGGCACTGGATGCCCTGCAAGCTGCTAAGCAGTCCATTCTGTTAGGATTTATATATTCATAACCACAGCTCATTCTGACAGCGAATGTAAAGATGTCTTTGTCCAGTGTTTCATTATGCATTTTCTTCTGACTGCTTTACTCCATAAATTTTCTTTGATGTTGCCTATTGAGTATAATCTTCTCTGAAAGTTTGCAAAACACAAACATCTGGATTAAATAAACCAAGCACATCCAATAAATCTTACACTGGAGTAATTTCTGACAAACTTTTGCAGTCTTCCTGCATTTCTAAGTTATGTGCAAAAATATTCTAGATTTAATAGTGCACAAGTCCTAAAGAAAATTATTTTCATTTTGGGGTGTTATATTATCTCTGCTGAAATAAAAAAAAGTCAGTATTTAATTATACAGATTGAACTTGGACATATATCACTTGATAGACCAATCTGAATAATCTGCTCTCCATTCTTTCTACCTCCCTGGAGATTGTTGAAAATATCTATTGTGACTCCCAATCAAAATATGGCATCAGAAAGTCTTTCAGATACAATTGAAATATTAATCATTGTTCTCTATTACAAAGTATGAAGCTGAAAGTCTTCAAATGACATTCAAATAATTAAAAAGAAATTTTGAAATTATTAGGTGGTATAGATTAATTTTGTTCCATTACCAAACATGTATATACATGGTGTTTTATTAAAGCCATCCAAAACTTAGCAATTCATTTCTTTTTGACAAATTTCTAAAGCAATTTTCACAAGGTCAGGCTCCATTGCAGGTGGCACCTATGAGCTTTTGTCTGATGAGTTATAGATGTTAAAAACCCAACAGCACTGCCACAAAGACCATCTGTGGGAAATCAGGGACATGGAAAAAAGTCCCCACCATGCAACTAGAGCACACTCAGAGAGAGGAAAAACTGTTTCTGATCTTAAATCCCAGAAAGTCTGCAGGATGTGGCTTCTTATAGGAGTTGGAGAGTAGACTCAATAAACCTGATAATCTGTTCTGGGCTGAGCAAGCTTTTCCCTCTGGAATAAGGCAGAGTCCATGCCAGGGCTGGCCTTAGGAAACCTCTCCTGTTCTGAAAGTCCGAATGTCATTTGTTGTAGGTGCAACCACTGATCAGAAATAAAGAAGTGTGTAAATCAAAGCAGGAACAGCCTTTTCTGCTTCATTCCACATGTGAATTTTCTTATTGTGAAATAAGAGCAGCTGATTCAGCTATTTTGGAAGATGGAGCTCTGGGTTTTTAAACGGTAGACAGCCAGGCTGCAATGGGAGAACAAGGCACATCACCTCTTCCTGTGGCAGGACGTGTGTTTTATGAGTTGGGACATGTTTCATTAGCCCACAAAGCTGCTAAAAAAAAATATACTTTTAGGTTAGAATCACAGACTGGTTTGGGTTGGAAGAGACCTAAAAGATCATCCAGCTCCAATCCCCATGCATGGGCAGGGACACCTCCCACCAGACCAGGTTGCTCCAAGCCCCATCCAACTTGTTCTTGAACACTTCCAGGGATGGGGCAGCCACAACTACCCTGGGCAACCTGGGCCAGGGTCTCACCAACTTCACAGCAAAGGATTTCTTCCTAGTGTCTGACTTCAGTCTCTCCTCTTCCAGTTTAAGGCCATTACCCCTTGCCTTCTCATTACAAGCCCTTGTAAAAAGTCTCTCCCCAGCTCTCCAGTAGCTCCTTCAGGCACTGGAAGGTGCTCTAAGGTCGCCCTGGAGCCTTCTCTTCTCCAGGCTGAACACCCCAACTCTCTCAGCCTGTCTTCACAGGAGAGGTGCTCCAGCCCTCTGACCATCTCCATGGCCTCCTCTGGACATGTATGCCTGTGTACACAGATGTCTACAAACACACGTACATGTACATCCACCCAAGCACACATACATCCCAGCCCCCCATCCTGACCTGCCAGAGAGGGGAACAGGATCAGTGCATTGCTGCTGTTTGAGTGCTGATCTGTGCAGGCCCTCATGTACATGTATGCAGACACAAACACGTGTGCAGTACGTGTGTCTGCCTGTAGCACCACATGTCCTGCCCCAGCACTGGCTGGACCTGGCAGCAGGCAGCTGGGGTCACCTTGCCTCTCTCAGGCTACCAGGACTAACAACCAGAATTTCACCTCCTAAGTATCTCTTTAATATATCTCTTCTGTTAGGAAAAGTAAAACAAATCCTAGGGAAAGGAAATGCCTGAGACAAGATCCTGAGGCCTTTTTGCAATAACCACAAACAAAAGAAAAAAAAACACCACCACAAAAACCACAAACAAAAGAAAAAAAGGATATTTCATACAAATACTTATCATCTTCAGCTCCAACAATTAAATTTTCATAATAAAAGGGGTTTGGGTAGAAGACAATAATAAGTTACTTTCCTGTATAGCTTCTTATGCACATTTTTTCATTAATCTGAAGCCTTTTTTATAACAATAAATTTGCTTTCTTTTCATATCTTAAATACCCCTGCCACTCCAGAGGTTGATTTTATGCTTCCATGTTGTGTTTGCCTTGCACATTTTTAAGAACATTGTCTGTGTGGTCATAGGCCAAACATGTGTTTCACTTGGAACATGTTTTGGTATTGTGGTTAAAATCTATCCCACTGCCAAAAAATAAAAGATAAAAGCAATCCAGGAGAAAAAAGGAAAAAAGAGAAGATTAATAACTATTATTCACATATTAAAAAAAAAAAATAACATTGCAGCATTTCTTTGTGTTAGTTCTTAAACTGATTTATTAAATAGCTTTCCCATTGATTTTTATCAAATAAACCCTTGTGCAAACAGAACAAAATTGTCCAAATAGATTTAACTCCTCCCCTCCAATAACATCAGCTATTTTTAAAACTAAAAATGAATCAAGCATTTCCCCACTTTTGATAGGTAAACCATCCCTTTAGGTCTGTTTTAATTAAAGCATAATGTTAAAAGATTAATTTTAACATTAACTCTACCCTACACTGACCAGTAGGCTATAGAGTTAATACTTGATGTACACTCTAAATCCTGGGATTAGAAGCACATAGTACAGGTGAGAAGAATCCATGTTTTGGGAGATTTTATATGCACACAGCAAGTCTAGCTCACTGGGAAGGAGCCTGAGGAAAAAGCACTTCAAGGGAAATACTACCCAGCAACAGCAATTTCACCTGCTGGTATTTACTGAGTCCCAGAAGCAGCAGGAGGAGGTGGGAGCTGCCACCTTCCACAGAGGCAAGACACTGCACAGCACCTGGGTGGCAGCATCTTGCTTCCTTCAGAGGCAGCCTTGCCTTTCCCAGCTGCCATTGAGCTTCTGCTGCTGCTCTTCATCTGAAGAAGGGAAATACAGGCTGGGTCACCAACCTTGAGCATTTGTCAGCTCCCACTCTGACTGACAGGAGGTCAAGCCAAGGACTTGCTACCTAAAAAAATTCAGCTGTAAAATTCAGAGTATCTCAAATAAACCCACGTTATCTTCATCCAGAAACAATGTTGTTCAACATGCACAGACACACTCACAAGGCACCCAGGAAAAGAAACATTTCCTAACCTCTTAGTGGGATCCATGAGATGAGCTGCACACCTGTACTCACATACCCTGCTTGTCTTTTATTTTTAAGGTTATGTAATATTTGACAGAAATGAGAAATTATGCTAAAGCACTTCAGGATCTCAAAAGCTCATGCAAATTGTTCTAAACCACAAGTTTCTAAAAGAGAACCCTCAGAAAATACTTCCACATTTTAAAAGAGAGGTCACCTCACTTAAAATCTGTAAGAGTATCTTATAAGTGCATTACATTTAGAGTTTGAAATGGTGAAATCTAAGTATATCTAAGAAATCTAGTGCTATAATCAGCACTAATTTTAAAGGTCTGCTTTTACTTCTCATGGATTCTAACCCATCCAAATAAAAGTTAATGTTTATTTTAATTCTTAAAGGTCCTTTATTTACTAACACACGGTAATTTTAAATACTGTTTATAGCACTGCAAACACTTCACTATTGCTTACAATGTTTATGTTTAAAGTTGCTAGTAAAATAAACTAATCTTCTGTATTGTGCTTTCAGTTACAACAGAATAAGAGAAAACAAATATAAATGGATTTAAAAGGAAAGGACAGCTTTGCAATATAATTACCTGTGTGACATCAGTAACATCAATGAAATTAGTTCCTGGAAACTGTGCATCTTCCTCCTCACTATGTACATCTTCTGGAGTCTATAAAGACAGATTAAAATTGTTAGGTACTTCACAGTGGGGAAAAAAAAAAAGCATCAGCAGAAACACTTAATTACAAGAATGCAATTAAATGACCACTCACTGTTAATAGCCTGAATCCAGAAAAAATGCTTTACCCATCCTAAAAGTCTCTGCATAGCATAAAGAGATTATTAGAACTTTCTCTTGTATGCTGACAGCTAAAACCTGCTGTTACCAAATCGAATGGAGTGTCTCAGCATCAGAAGTTCTAGGGCAATACCTGTAACTCTTAAGAAAATCAGTAAGACAAAATATTGCAAAGCACAGCACGAGTCTGCAAGTGTCTTAACCAACTTTTGTGCAGTTCATTGATATTTAATAATATCCTTTTATATCATCATGATTTTAGTCCATAGTCTCTGTCTTATGCAGTGAATACCTTGACCACAGGGCTCTGAAGGACCTAACTACCTAAGTCAGAGTAGCAACTAACACAGAGGGAAACAGAACATACAATAACTACAAAAACAATCACTGTAACACTGTGCCATCACACTGTCCTGCCTGTGCAACACACAAGACAGAAACTCACTGGAACAAACAACATGCCATCCTGCAAAAACATGACCTAGTTTACAACTCTGCATACAGCAGTTAACCTTCTAGTTGCACAGAAACTTTCACTGCTGCTTAGATTAAAAATACATCTGAAAAATTCTATGGAGAACAGAGGAGCCAGCTCCATACACACCAGGCTACCAGTGAAGAGGCTGTGCATACACACCCCTAACCACTCGAGTACAGCCAAGGAGGAGACAGGAATGAAGAACATCCTCAAGTCTTCATGCCAGAACACTGGAGCCAGTATAAATAAGATCCACTAAGGGATTAGAACAGGACAGAGAAATGCTGATTTTCTTTTCCTGGAACTACCCAATTCTTCTAACTGAAACAAGACAATGAGATAATTTTGTGGCCATTTAACATATTTTCTTTTTAAACAAATTTGAATTCACAGACATTTAGAGCAATCAATACCTGTATTACAGCACTGACAGGAGGAAGTGCAGGTTCAGAGCCTGGAAGAACATTGTTAACACTCACACTGTCACTTGAAACACTGTCAATATCCACATTTGGCAACACCTAGGACAGAAAAAAGTACCAATCTGAAAATGTAGGTATTCACTCAGCTACTATCACTGAACTTTCTAGATTCTCTCTTCCACTTCTTACTGAGTCACTAAACTCCAGTGACCTCCTTTTCTCATGTCTGTATCTGATAATTCAAGTGTAAAAACCAGAATTCTGTAATGCACAAAAAAACTAATCCCAGAAGTGTTCATCTCCTCTCTTGTGGTACCTGATTTCTCCTGTTTTCTAATCCTGTTACTTTGTCTTGCATGTGACAAAAGGTGAGTGCAACTATTTAAACAGCAGATGGGCGTTTGACTTGCAATCCATTTGCACTATGTTGGCCTACAAGCCGCTGCGTGGGCTGGTTATTATCTTCAGGTTGTCATACATCTGGCATAATAAAATAAAGGGATAATTGTGTGACAATATAGCTTGTAATACAGGCATGCTCATTAGAGCAGTAAGATGTGGGGGTTTTAAGAACAAAAATTTAAATGCTTGCATAATTCTCTGGGGGGGAAAAAGTCACCTCAGACATTTAAGAACTGGGTGAAGTAACAGCAAAAAGGATGTGGGTGGAAAACAGTGATCCAGGGAGGGAACAGATCACACACACTACCTGTATTTAACTTTGATTTCTATGAATCATTTGTATCTGAAAGGCGTGTGTAGGAGTGTGTATTTCTCAACAACTTGAATCCAAAACAACGAATATGTAAGAAACATTAACCTCCTTGACAACAGACTCATGTGAGAAATAAAAAAAACAAAGCCAACCAACCCACTAGGTAAGGATTGCAATGGCTCATTACTTAGCAGTGAAATTCTTGGGTTGACTATCAGGTTGAAACAGAAGTCTTAAAGTCTAAAGCATTAATCCAAGAAGATTGACATGTATTTTAATACTTTTTTAATTCACAGTTTGTTCTGGCTCAAAAATCTCATTTAAAAAAAGAAAACATGGCATAGAACTATTTTATAAACACCCTGCAAACGTGACTTACAAAACAAATAGCTTTCTATTCTGGTTAAACAATAAAGATAATTGTTAAAATATTAATATTAGCAAAGCATGACAACTTTTTGTTCCCTCCATTCTGTATGTTTCTATTTCATACTGAAAACCATCTACTGGTGCCAAAGTTACTGATGCATGAGACTGTCTTTAGTTAGCATTTATTAAAATAAACAATGATCATTCTTGCCACACACCTGCACAGTCAGCTGAGGTGGATCCTTTCTCTCTGATCTTATCTCTACCACAGCTATGTTTGGTTTTTTTACCTCCTGTACAGGCTTTGGTGGCACTTCAGGAAGAGAAGGTGTAACTGCAACAGGTTGTGCTTTACCTATCACCAATCTAGCAGGCTGCAGTGAGATGCCACTCATCTGAGTCTGACCTAAGGGCAATTTAAAAATAAAGATATACATAAATCTCCCAAGTCAACAAATTAATACATTAATTAAAATTAAATCCTGGGTGCCTGTGTTCCACATGAGACAGACTGTGTAACTGCAGACTAATTAACAGGTCCCCTGTTAACACTAGCTGAAGCATAGTGCTTTACCAGGTAATTTTAAGGCTTTCCCAGCAGAAACTGTAAACTCAACACTGACATGTTTTGAAATTATTCCTTTTTCTTTACTATGGTGACACCTACTGCTGAAAATCGGAATAGCTACATTGTGTTTGCTGTTAAAAAATTATATACCATGCTCCCCCCACCTCACATTTTCTTAACCATATTCAAAATATTGTTACACTTAGTATAGCATCCCACAAGTTTTAATTTGAGATAGCCTTTTAAAACATAATTATCTTTTTAAAATGACAATATAATACCAAACCTTGGCAAAACAAGGCCTATATAAAGGTTCTATTGAATGTTCAAAAATACAGAAGCCATAACAATGCATTAAGTGTTTGGCACAATCCTACTGAAATTGTTTGGCTTAGTCATTGTAGGGGACAAGAGGAAATGGCCTCAAGTTGTGCCAGGGGATGTTTAGAGTAGGTATTAGAAGAAATTTCTTCACTGAAAGGGTTATCAAACACTGGTACAGGCTGCCTAGGGAGGTGGCTGAATCACCATCCCTGGAGGTGTTTAAGAGATGTGTAGATGCGGGGCTTGGAAACATGGTTTAAGCATTGGACTTGGTAGAGTTGGGCTAATGGTTGGTAGAGTTAGGTTATGGCTGGACTTGATGGTCTTAAAGGTCTTTTCCAACCAGAATGATTTTGTGACTCTGTAAATGTTGAATCCAAGAGCAAATGATTCAGTTCCTGCTTATGTGGATACCAAACGTAAACACAGAGCAAGAACCCTAGAACTGTAAATTGTACCAAAGAAGGTATGTACAGCCAAGAAATAATTGCTCTGTCAGGTTGTCACCAGACCTATGGCATGAAGAATTAAGAGAACCAGATAATTTTAAGCTGTTCCCCCACATAGATTTCCCACTAAAAAAGGAAATCTCATGGGCCAGAGGAAATCACTGGCTTAGGAAGATGAAGTTTTATTTCCACCAAGTAGCAGTCATTCATCTTCACAGACCCCTTCCACAGGTTATTTGCTCCTACCTAATGGAATAGCCATGGGAATTAGGTGACCTTCAAGGAAACCTGAGCCTGCAGGTACATCTTTACTTGGACTAAAGAGATACTGATTTTCCTGGCTAAGTGCATATAAAGGATGCTGCTGCTTAGGGCTGGTCACCACTGTCTGTGCATGAGGAGTCTGTGTTCTTGCTGACTTCACCTTTGTGCCTGAAACAAGAGCAGACAAACCATCACCATCAATGCATGGGCAAACAAGACAATATCACACACTACTGATTTAAGCCCTTCAACTAAAACAGTTGCACGTTTTTGCTGTGGGATGGAGGGAGCAAGGGAGCGAGACAGGAAGGTGGAACATAAAAGTCACGGAGTCAGAGTGGTCAGAGGGCTGGAAGGGATCTCTGAAGATCATGCAGTCCAACCCCTCCTGCTAGAGCAGGATCATCTACAGTAGATCATACAGGAACATGTCCAAAAGTGTTAAGTTAGATGTCACAGTACTCACAGCAATAAAGGAATTACAAATCACAACTTTCAAACATCCGAGTCTAGCAAATAAAGGCACATAACTGTGAAGAAAAGGTCAGAAGGATGGAAGTAGACTGGAATGAAACATGCAATTTAGGAGGTAAGAAGGAACTCCTGATTTAGGTTTGAAATACAGCATTGGAACAGCATGCAAGTCTGGCATGCCAAGCAGATAGGGCATAGAACAAGAGACAGTTTGGCTGCAGTTTGGCTGTATTAATCAGATTAACTGCCTCAGTTTTATAAACACGCAGTTTGTCTCTAGACACAATATTGACAGGTACTCAACTGAACAGGTATAACCCGCAAAATCCTGGTTTAACAACTCCTTGCTACTGGAATGTAAAGCCATAATTAACACCTGTAAGTCTTGATTTGCAATGTTGAGGAAGCACTGAATTTTGGTTCAGTTTTGAAAATGTTTTGTTAAATAGCCAGCCAGAAGTAAGCTGTATATAACAATGCCTTAAGCATATAGCAGAGAAGAACATTTATTGCAGTGATGCATTTCTCACTAGACAGTCATGAAAGGTCTTATTCAACTTCTGTTCTTTACAAAGAATAGCTATTATTAGGCAAATAAATAACTTTAAATGAATAAAAACTGCTTGAAACATGCCCAAAAAAGGAGAGAACAATCATTCATCAAACAAAAGTGCTTCTACTGCTACTTTGTAGGCATTAGGAAAATAAACCTGAAAGACTCACATTGGTAACCAATTCCCAAACTTCACTACGCTGGAAAATGTCACCTTACTCCTCTGTTTCTGACCATCACCCTTCCTGTATTAATGGCCAGTTAACACATGGCAACAAGCACTTTGTAGCTCTATCCACATTTAATAGCTTCCTAATTAATTGAAGAAAAACCTTCAACTATCCTAAAACTGAGAGATAATAAATATTGATAATATGGGTTCTAAAAACAAAGGCAATCCACTCAAGGAGTGGTATTTTTGTACACACAAATTATGGGTTGGAAGCCCAGAAACAAGAACAGCAAGTCATAACTTTTCAGTGAGCAAGAACAGGTCAGAAAGATGTGTCCCTGAAAAAGGCTTTAAGGTCATGTTGGGTAAGAAATGCAATGAGAAATCACAATACAATGCTGTGGTCAAAGGGATAAATATACTCCTCAGATGTCTCAGCAGGCTGAGGTGGAGCAGAAGATGACTTCCAAACATGATAACACTGCACACAGTTCTAATTCTGTACCTCTGTAAATATTAAAACAGATTAGACATCAAAGGGCCTTTTTCCTTCTTTCAAAAAAGAAGGAAAATCACCCCAGAACTGAAGTAGCAGTGAACTGAAGCCAAAAACTCACAATAAATCAGATACTAAACTTGAAGAGTTCCATTGACTTTTGAACCATAAGGTATCGGAGCCATGGGAGGAAGTAATTAAGGGCAGAATTTCATGATGTCTTTAAATGATGAGCATGTGCCTTTCTGCAAAGCACAGGTTAGCCAGAAAAACTGTTCTTCAGTCAAAGACAAATTACTGGACTCAGTAACATAAATAGATACAGTTCAGTGGCCTGTGATTTAGAAGGGGTCATAGCACATGATCTAACAGTCCCCCCCTGGCCTTGAACTTTTGAGTAAAAGCAGAAATTGGCAACAAGTCTGCAACACTGCCAACTTGTAAAAACAAGGTTCTCCCAGTGAGAATGATTAAGCACTGTATACACATAGCACCTCATTTTAATTGCTTTCAACTTTTCATTTCCCCCTGAAAAGTTTACTTGCACTAGGCAGAAACCAGACATTTAATTAAACTTAGCTTTAAAAAAAAATAAAAAATGGTGTTTTACATATATTTATCAGTTCAAATTATGCAAGAAAAGAACTCCAACTTTTTTTTTAGAATTGCTCTCTTACTCATAAACGTGTTAGTTGGATGTTTTTTCCAGCTTCCCAGAAGAAACTAAGTATTAGTCACTACAGTTTATTTGCAAAAAGAAAATGGTTGAGAAAGTTATAAAATGACTGCAAAGAGACTCTCCAGATGGCCATTTCAGTCTTAAATAAACATCCTTATTCTAGCACTAATTTAAAACAAGCTCAGTGGACTGCTCTAAGAAAATAAAGTCATTTAATAAGTCTGGATTTTCCAGCCAATCAAACCCAAGGCCAACAACTTCCAATAATTTTTAAGCCTTTATCACCTGGTTCATCAAGGCCAGGAAGGGAATCTGTGGGTACAGATCCATGAAGGAAAGTACTAATCATGCCCAGTATAAGTAAGATTGCTTGCTTACTTGCTTTTTTCAAGAAAGTGGTGCTTTAAAGTGCTCATTTGACCTTGCTTCATTTTATGTTCCCTCCTACTATAGAACAGTACAGACCTGTTTCTAATTTTATTATTCTTTCCTGCCATAACAGCATCTTTCAGAATAGCAGCCCTCAAAAACATGTAACTACTTTGTCTTCAAGAGACCTATGTGAAACACAGAAATATTAATTTCCATTTTATTGGCAAGATATAGGAAAGCACAAAAACTAACCAGCTTGACCAACTGTCTTACAAGAAGCATCAAAGACAAGTAATGCCAATATCAAAGGCTGACCTCAGTATAAAGCCATTAAAACCATAGAATGGTTTGGATTGGGAGGGACTGTAAAGACCACCTAGTTTCAACCCCCTGCATGGGCAGGGACACCTCCCACTAGACCAGGTTGCTCCAAGCCCCATCCAACCTGTTCTTGAACAGTTCCAGGGATGGGGCAGCCGCAGATGCTTGGAGCAACCTGGGCCAGGGTCTCACTACTCTCACAACAGAGAATTTCTCCCTCAGATCTAGCCTCAATCTCCCCTCTTTCAGCTTAAAACCATTACCTCTTGTCCTCTCACTAGAAGCCCTCGTAAAAGCCCCTCCCCAGCTTTCCTGTAGCCCCTTCAGATACTGGAAGGCTGCTATCAGGTCTCAGGACACACATTAATTGGAGTGCTACTCTTGTAAGTGACATGCAAAAAAATTCGATATTCTTCCTTTCTTCCCTTAGATAAGAATATAAAGGGGTGTCTTATTTTACTTACAGCCAAGAGAAGTGACAAAAACATAACATTCTGTAACCACAGTCTGATGCGAAATAGAGAAATGAGTTTTGCTGCAGCTTTATGATGGCAAACACACAAGCTGCTGTACTGCTGGAGGATGACTTAAGGACTTGGAACAGAATCATTTTGGGTAAAGGCTATCCAGAGTTCATTCTGGTTTCAAGCAAATAGCTTTTAAACTCTGTTTGTCACACGTAGGAGTTCTGGAAGATGAAATGCAGCGTGGATCCAGTACACAATTTTCTCTTTCATTTCTCTTTGCCTCCAACAGAAAAAAAAGCTAAAGCACAGGAGCAGTTTATTACAACTGCAACCTGTACCTTTACCTTTCACTGACACAGCTGAATTAAAAACATACACAGCAGAAAGCAGTTAGTACCATGTGATCAAATGACCTACTTCTTATAATTAGATTGCAGGGGCACTTTTCCTGCCTCTTTACAAGGCGTTGTTTCTGGAATGATGAAATTGGCCTCCATGGAAAGGTTGTGACCTTCTATAAAGGACAAGAGGCCAATAAATATGGAAGAAAAATGTCATTTAGGACTCAGCAAAAGCAGAACTGCTGATTAAATATTTTTAAGAAGTGTCTGTTCTCAATCCAAATCTTAGAGGTCACTGTGTTATTGTTATTGCTACACTAAGTGCTTAGTAGCACATATTTTATTTTAAAAAATCTCTCCAGAATCAACTGTATTACAGGTGTTCAGCATAACCAGAAGTCCAAAAGAATGATATATCCTTCTGGTCCTTCAAATGAGTATACTGACATTTTTCACAAAGAAAGGAAGTGGTTCAAAACAAGTCAAATAAAAAATACAAGCAACAAGCAGTTATCATACACCACATTCTTCCATTTTTACAAGAAATGAAGTTCTGAAAAGTCTTGTAGATTTTTGCCAGGAATGTTACACATTTTCCAGGAGGTTTATAGGAATTACAAACACTTTCTACCAGTAACACTTTCTCTTCATGGATCAAAACTGGACTCCAGAGGACTGACCACAAAGTGCCAAGAAATGGCATGAAGACTATGCTAAGCTGAACAACAGATTCTTGCACTATTTTGAACATTTCCCACCATAATGTCAAAAACCCCACCCAAACAGAACAGCAGTGCTTGTCTTCAAAGACGTATACAGGTTTTATACCATACATGGCCTAAAACCATGGTCTCATCAGATAACTCTTCCTCAGGTTAATCTCTTATATTTCATACAGCTATAATAAAAAAACCTCAGACACCATCTTTTAAACATGACAGTTCAGATTGCATCAAGTATATTTTCCCTGCATGGTAACAACAGCATAGGTGCAAGAAGCACAGAGGGAAGCAAACTAATACTTTTTCACTGATGCTCTCATCCTGCTAAGCAGCCTGTGCTCACTATCCCTCCTCTTACACTTAATACACACTTGCTCTTCATCATCATCTTTTACCATATAATTTGCTCACTCTCTCCTGAAGTGAGAAGAAAACTAAGCCCTTGTTGTTTTATTTTGTTGTTGTTTTTTTTTAACCTGCCCTCCACTGCAGCTTCTTCTTCTTGGATTTCCCAATCCCCATCATGTTTTGTTGGTTTCTTGCAATGTTTTTCACTACCTTACAATGTGTAAAGTAACTGGTATCTTGACTAAACCATAGTTTAGTCAAGATATGGGGAAGGATGAGAAGTTCCCCCAGAGTATCAGTCATAATGAAAACAGCAAAGTGCAACCACTTTGGAAGTATCTTTGACAAAACTTCATCCCTCATTACCAGCATCTCTAGTAATTCAAATTAACAGCAGTAATGACATCTAAATCTCCCCATAACCCTACACATTCAGTTTTTTTGGCAGCTCAATTAAAGATTAATCTTACTTTATGTATTAGGAATAAGTGGGTTTTGACAGGATAACTAGGAAATAAGAGCTATCTAAGTAAAACAGACAAATCTAAACTATGCTATTTCAAACTGCAATGAATGGATGAATTTCACTAGATCAAACATAACTTTCTACTAACTCAGGTAACTGTAGAAGAACTTTATCTTATGTCAGATATTGTACAGTTTCACTTTTTAATTGTTACTTTCATACATTTTTAATAGGTTAAAATATTAAATCTTCTAATCTTGATACTTTGCCTACAAAACTAATGAATGGAATTAATTATTAATCAACTAATAACCTTTACCAGTCAATTAAATAACTGTAAAAAGTTAGCACATTTCACCCTGACCTGAGTAACAAAAGATGTTTTACCTGCATTTAGTGACCTCAACCAATGCTTACAATTAACACATTTCAGTATTTTCATATTAATAGAGGTCATCTTCAAACCCATCCATATAAATTTTCATACTGCAATTCACATATTAGAGGTGGGAAAAGAAGTATCACAATTCTTAAATGTTTCAAATCTCAGTAGATTTCGTAACTTCAAATTAATTAATCATTTAAATGACATGATTAGACAAACCTGACACAAAGAATGCATTTCAGTGACCTCTAGGAAAGACGAGTTAGTTTCTCAACACACTAAACTTTCAGGTGTTTATGTTGTTACTTTGAGCAATTCAGCTCTTTAAAAGCTGGGCAACAATAAATATTTACTGAGTTTATTAAACTGAGAAATGAGTATGACTTCAACAATTCAAAATAACTGAGATACACACAAAGCAAATCTGAGAATCTACTGATATTTTTCAGTTTTGATAAGAGCACCTTCTAACCCTACTGCAGTTGCTTAAGCTTTCCACTGAAATGCAGGTGATACAGGATTAAATAGTTTCACTTGTACAAGGAATTTCTAATGGAAAAAGTGGGAAGAAACACTTAATCCACATCAAAGCATTGCTTACCTCTAACACGCTCTATCACCTTGGGTCTCTGAAGCTTAGATTTGGGAGAGGGAGAGTTGAATCTCAGATATGGTGCTTTTTTAAGGGTGCTACGATGGCCCTGGTAAATTGGTTTCCCATAAACTTGCCACAGATAATCTTCATTTGGTATCACTGCTCTTCTGCTCACATGACTCTGACACATCTGCAAAAAAGTAGTTTACAGTTCTTCAGACAGGAAATTTGAACACATCAATAGTGGTGCAAAAGTCTAAAGGGGAAAAAAGTAAGAAGTTCTGCAACAAACAATATACATTGTAAGCACACATGAAAACTCAGCCATACATAAAAGCAGCTTCCTAACAGCTGAATAAAACAGCAGGTATTGGGCAAGACAAATTCATAGGCCTGTTGGAGAGGGTCCAGAGAAGGGTCAGCAAGATGATCAAAGGCCTGGAGCAGCTCTGCTGTGAAGACAGGCTGAGGAAGTTGGGGCTGTTCAGCCTGGAGAAGAGAAGGCTCTAGGGAGACCTTAGAGCACCTTCCAGTACTTGAAAGGGCCCTACAGGAGAGCTGGGGAGGGGCTTTTCATCAAAGAAGATAGTGATAGGACAAGGGGTAATGGTTTTAAACTGAGAGAGGGGAGATTTAGGTTAGATATTAGGAAGAAATTCTTCACTCTAAAGGTGGTGAGAAACTGGAATGAGTTGCCCAGGGAGGTTGTTGATGCCCCATCCCTGGAGGTTTTTAAGGCCAGGTTGGAGGAGGTTTCGTGTAACCTGATCTAATGGTAGGGCTCCCTGCTCATGGCAGGGGGGTTGGAACTTGATGATCTTTGAGGTCCCTTCCAACCTTAATGATTCTATGATAACATGATAATTAATTCTATAGTGTTATACACACTCAGCTGATACTTTTACAGCAAATGAAAACAAGGACAATTCTCACAACAGACATCCACAGGACAGGGCTATCCCATTCATTCAGACTCTTCTCAGTGATGTCCAGTGACAAAACAAGGGGAAATGGGCACAAACTGGAGCACAGGAAGTTCAAGTTGAACATAAGGAAAAACTTCTTTACTGTGAGAGTGACAGAGCACTGGAAAAGGCTGCCCAGAGAGGTTGTGGAGTTTCTATCCCCAGAGACATTCCAAACCTGCCTGGATATGTTCCTGTATGATCTGCTCCAGGGCATCCTGCTATAACAGGAGGGTTTGACTAGATGTTCTCTAGAGATCCCTTCCAATCCCCACCATTCTGTGATTTGAAATTATTATGGTTACACATACAAACCCCTTTTCACATGAATACAGCAACTTAAAGCATAGCAGTCATTACCCAAGAAAGAAACCAACTACTTGGGAACTCACATCCATTAGTTTTTCTTTCCTCTGAAAACTTTCAGAAGAAAAGTAAGTTCTAAACCTCTGTTTTCTTATGTTATCTTCTGCTTGCTTCTGCAATGGCTTAGCTGCAAATAAAGGCTTCTTTGTCAAGCATCCTTGGGTTTTTTCAGTTTTTGCTTTAATTTCTTTATTGGTCTTGGTAGCCTTGATGTTTTGGGCTCCCTTGATCCACGGGACCTTTTGATTGTACTTCTCTTGTTCTGAATCAGTTCTTGCCATTTCAGCCTAAAGATAAAACATGAACAGAAAAGAAGTTTTAATCATCAAGGATATCAGAAGAGTTTGTGGCCAACTTTGAAGTTCTGAGAACTGGCTTGGTTTTCATGTTAGCCAGCAACTGTGACCAGTGATTTTCATTAAGCAATGGAAGATTTAAACAGGGATAAATATTTTAACCTAGCCTATTACATGCTATTAATAAGCAGCTTTGTGATGTTTTCAAGTTGTGAATCAATCATGTTTAACTATTGACAAGAAAGAACAATGTAAGGTGGAAAAATATCATGCAGAAAAAAACCCTGTACCCATTTTTAGCAGCCATACCTGGATTTCCACACTGATTGCCTTGATCCACTCATCCACAGTCTTTCGGATACGAATCTCTTCCAGTGCATCTCTGAAATAGAAGAAATAACTATTTTAGGTAAGTGCTGCTTAAGGGGCACCAATTTGTTCCTGGGAAAGTAGTGACCTATAAACACTATAAAAAGAGAAACCCAGAACACAGAGACACTAAGATTCTGTACCTCTACAGGCTCCAGCAGGCACCAGGCAGCCCTTATCTGTTCCTGTTTTGAGCAAAAACTGTAAGAAACAAGGTAAAAGTATCCCAACTCAGAAGACAAAAGGCAGATGACAAAAACTGCTGCTTCCTCTAAAAGATGATACCAAATATCATGCCTGAAAACAATCCTGACATAAAGTTACCTTCAAAGATTAAGTTGTAACTGATTAGGAAAACTCTCATTGTGACCCAAGTAAGAGTGTTTAATACAAATAATGAAGCTGAAGTTCCAAAGCCAAAGTTCTGCTGTAGGATGACTAATCCTGTAACATTTACAGGCTTGTGAAGCCTATTCTGCTCTGAAGGATGAAATTACCCTTTAATTTTCTAATTAAAGCAACTTTGTCTACAAAAACCTAAATGTCTCCTTGTCATAACAGCAGAGCAGTTTGTCCGGATGATAGTGTCTCAAAATGCAGATTAACAAGAAGGAACAGGTAGGTACTCATCATAAAAAATAATTTTAATCAAGAGGATCAAAGAATATTTGAAATTCTAAATCATAGAACCACAGACTTGTTTGGGTTGGAAGGGACCTTCAAGACCACCTAGTCCCAACCCTCTGGCATGGGCAGGGACACCTCCCACCAGCCCAGGTTGCTCCAAGCCCCATCCAACCTGCCCTTCAACACTGCCAGGGATGGGGCAGCCACAGCTTCCCTGGGCAACCTGGGCCAGGGTCTCACCACCCTCACACTAAAGAATTTCTTCCTAATGTCTAACCTAAATCTCCCCTCCTCCAGTTTAAAACTATCACCCCTGCCCTCTCACTACTCTCTTGGGTGAAAAGTCCCTCCCCAGCTTTCCTGGAGCCCCTTCAGGCACTGGAAGGTGCTCTAAGGTCTCCCTGGAGCCTTTTCTTCTCCAGGCTGAACACCCCAACTCTCTCAGCCTGTCTCCAGAGCAGAGCTGCTCCAGCCCTCTGATCAGCTTCATGGCTTCCTCTGGACTCTCTCCAAGAGCTCCATGTCCTTCCTGTGTTGAAGGCTCCAGAACTGGACACAGTATTCCAGGTAGGGTCTCACAAGTGCAAAATAGAGGGACAAAAGAATCATCTAATGACTGGTAAGAAGAGCCAATAAATAGTTTTTTGGGGGACTGCACTAGTTCTTCATTTCAAGGAACTTAAAAATAAGGAAAGGTGATACAAGGTGTATGAAGACATAAAACAAGCAGTCAAACAAAGTGTTGGATAATAGGGTCTAACCTGTTTGTGGCCAAGGCATTAAGAACAGTGTCCATGGCATCTCCATCCTTTGCATGAATAACAGCTTCCAAATTCTCTTCAAGAACTTTTTTATTGTTTTGAACTTCTCTCAAAACCCTTTCAGCATCCCTCAGTATAGATTTTGGCACTTTCACATTTTGAAGGATGGATGATTTCTTGAGCTGATGATGTATTTGAGGCTCAGATGCAACAGGAGGGTTTTTTGACTAAAATTGAAACAGAACCACTAGCTTTTCATTTCAGATTGTCATTTCCATTTTCCACACATTGATCAGAATTCCTATTTATATATTATCAAATCAAGGCCTAGCATGCCTTGCACATGTACCACCATCAACCTCCATTACTCAAGAACATTGGGTATGTTGCAAATATATCTATAAGACAAGCAAATGGAAAGACATCCAGAAGATCTCCAAGGCTAAATGATGTAATGCCTGAGAAGCAATGCTAATGAAGCAAATGAGTGTGTGAGAAGATGGCAATTAGATACATGAAGTAGGCATTGCATGAGAATCTCTCCATGTAACAGTATTTAAGTATAACTAAATGCATAATAAAAACAAATTCTCCACATATATGTATTCATTTGGTATTGATCTGTCCCAAGAAACACCAAAAATATACTTCAGTTTTAACAACAATAAAATAAACCCCTTAACAGCATCATGATTCTGTCCCTCCTGCTGATTTTTAATTCTCATAAGAAACAATGAAACATCTATTAGTCTTTTGCTTTGCAGAATCTTTTTACAGAGCTAAAAACCAAGGACATATTAGCTGCTAAATACAAAAGGAAGGGGCACAAGTACATAGGAAACAAGGAGCCACACAACTATACCTCTCACATTCAGTCTCACACTCTTGATGAAACCCAAAGGTCCTGAAACAGTGCTTCATTTTCCACAAATGAAGCAAAAATAAAAATAATCACATTTAAAAAGTCATAAACGTACATAAAGAAAAAGAAACCTCAAAATTAAGCCAAAATACCCATGTTTGAGTAGGCACTGAAAGCATCCACTGAATGAACAGAAAAAATTCTCACAGATGAAAAAACAGATTTGGCTACTTTTATTGAAGAAAAGTTTATGTTCTAACAGATGTACTGCCAAAGCACAAGGGACATAACAAAACAGAAATCTACACACTGATCCCATGATTTTCGTCTTGCCTGGTGAGAAAAGGACAACATACCAAAAATTATTTGCCAATTTTATGTAGGTTTTCATGTAAAAGTTAAACTTTTGCACAAATACTAGCTCAATAAGGTGAAATCTCCAAGAAAATGTAAGAAATACAGACAGAGGTTCAACTGTAAAATGATGTAGATTTGCCAATTAGAGCCAGATCAAGAAATGGTAATTTTAGTAACAGTCCACATTATGGCAATTTTAGAAGCCAGCTTTGTGCCTGGCAGTTGTATTAGTCCCTCAAGATAGCTCAGTAAGATTAAGACAAGTCAAAGAACAATTTAAATGTTACTTTGAGTAATGTAATCTGTATACAACAGCAACTTTAAGAAAAACCAAACAGGTATGCAGTAGTCACTGTAGTGTTATCTCACAGCAAGCATATTCCAAACTGTTTCATATTCCATTATTTAAGGAAAAAAAAAAAAAAAAAAGGATACCAGATATACCTTAATAAGATCATTCATGTCTGACTTCCATGAGTTTGCTTCCTAAAAAAGACAGAAGAAGAGCTTTTGAAACTCACCTAATGACACATCTGTTAAGGTAAAATCTAGAGTAGATATTTGATCTGTTTAAATGGGCACAATCAATTCCTTTGAGCTACTAAATCCCACTGCACACTTGTTTTGGACTAGAGCTCCACCTTCTGTTCCATCTCAACCTATTCAGGCCTTTAATTTGCTTGTATGACAAAGCCAGTGGTCATTTACCCCATTTATTGTCTCACTCTATAAATCTCTGAAGGATGAGAAGCCAATAGTGAAGTATCTGATTACACTCCACATTTGCTGAAGTCATCACACCTGTCTTCCCACTGACCTTTGTTGTAAAGAGAGATTTTAAACCATTTATGTCAACTGTGTCTTTCTCACCTGCAATCCTTTCTCCCCTCTCACCATCAGCAGATCTGCTGCTGCCTATACTAAGGTATGTTAATTAAGTTTTCAGCAATAGTGTTAACCAAATATTTGCAACAAAAACAGGACCCATGGCATCTGGTTTTCACTAGCAGGAACAATTAAATACTCAACCCACTAATATCTTACAAAATCTATGAAACAATGCATCAGCTGTACTCTAAGATAAAACAGATGATGCTATGTTGTCAAAAGATAAAGCAACAAATAACTGGCATGTAATATTAAATATTTTTAGGGAAATAAGCAAACTGAAACTTTCAACCACAGAAACAAACCAATAGAATCAAAGCTGGTATGTTCCAAGCCAATTCACAAACCTGTGGATATTCAAAGTCCCTCTCCTTTCCCACCACTCACATTTACAAGACCATAGAGGAGCCCAGCAGACAGGCTAAATGATCGGGTGTATCTTTCTTCCACATAGAACCAGGGTAACAAGCAGATAAAAGCCTCAATTGTCAAAAGCCAGAGGAAACTTATACTTTGCCAGAACAGAACCATTTTAGCACCAAAAGTACAAGATCATTAACACAAGAAACAATGATGTGATGCAAACCAGGCAATTCTTTAGAAGCAGTGCTCTTTACAAAAAGAAATGGCAAAACTATAAAGGAAGTAGCTTAAGTCATCCCTTAAGTTGATTGCAAATAAACAGAACATTGTTCTTCCACAAATGGGAATGTTACATGAGCTCTGTAGCTCTAGAGGAAGAGCACAGGAAGAGAGCCAGCAGAAAACAGGAACTGAAAAGACCTGAAGCCTTAAAACAAAAAAATAAATAAACCACTTCTTTTTAAAAAAACAACCCTATTTTATATTTGGTAGAATGGCAGTAAAAGCCTCTATACTCCAGTCCATTGTGCCCTCACTGAGACATTACTCAAGTTCAAAGCCTTCCCACACACAGACTGCAATATTTCAAGTAATTGTAAACAAATGTCAGCCTTTTTACAGAGGTAGAATCAAGGGCAACATTTCTACTGATACCAGACCTGTTAAGCTTTTCTCCACACTTTTTATTCATCTTATTCAAACTTGGTCATTCTGATAACACGGACTGTACCTGTAGCATGTCACGCATTTCTCTTCTCAACTGGTCAAGATCTTGAAGTAAAGAGTCTGCTTTTTTCACTGTTTTCTCAACTGAATTGCAGCTTTGGAAGGAGCTTTCCAAAGCAGGCAATGAGTCTGTGTGCAAAGCAGTATGCCTGCTGAGAGAAACACTCTTCATTAGAAGTCTCATCGCTCTTCATGTGGCCCAAGAAAGTTGCCAACATTGAAACTGAGCAAGAAATCAAAGTGCAGGAATATCAAAACTTTATATAAATGGAATTTTCACCTAGGTTAAACACAGGTTATTTGGTTTATCACTTAACATCTTGAGCTGTATCCTTGTATTTTGAACTGGGAAAATACATCTAAAATTCAAATCTTATAGAGCAACATTTAGTTCTTCAGACACCTTTCCATTTGAAGTATTTCATATTTTTGCATATACTATCACAAGTAAGACAATATCTGTACAGCTGCTGGAGAGAATCCAGAGAAGGGAAAAGGAGCTGGGGAAGGGTCTGGAGCACAAGTATGTTGAGGAGGAGCTGAGGGAACTGGAGGTGTTAATCCTGGAGAAAAGGAGGCTGAGGGGAAACCTTTTGGCTCTGCAACTGCCTGAGAGAAGATTGGAGCTGGGGGGGGTTGGTCTCTTCTCCCAATTAACAAGCTACAGAACAAGAGGAAATGGCCTCAAGTTGCACCAGGAGAGGTTTTGACTGGATATTAGGAATGATTTCTTTACTGAAAGGGTAATTAAGCGCTGGAACAGGCTGCCCAGAGAGGTGGTTGAGTCTCCATCCCTGGACATGTTTAAGAGATGTGCAGATGTGGTGCTTGGGAGCATAATTTAAGCACTGGTCTTGGTAAAGTTAGGTGATGGTTGGACTTGATGATCTTAAAGGACTTTTCCAACCAAAATTCTGTTACTATTCTGTTTCATTAGTGAAATTACCATATCCATTTATTGCCTGGGGAAAATGTTTCAGACTGGGTGGCTAAGAACATTTCCCCACCCACACTAAAGCTCAGAAATCGTTAGGCAGATGCTGCTTCTTCCCAAAAAAGTGTTCTCATCCAACTCCCACAAGCAGGCACCTTGGACTCTCCCTTACAAGGGCAATTCCACCCATATTTGGCTTCATGACTCTACTCCACAACGTGCTGCAATAAAAGCAATACACTCAGGAGACAGAAAAGCACTCCAAGTGCTGACCTCTGAGATAGGTGTTATGGACTGTCCTTAGCAAGCAGCCTTCACCTACCTTCAGCACAACAGAAATGCCAAAGTAGCAGGCAGACGGCAGCAGTGTTTTATTTCAAAAGTCAAAGATGATGCCAGTGACTTTCTTACACCAATGATATTTAATACACCTTTCCCAAGTTCATGAGGAGAACAAAAAAAAAAATCTTCCTCGATGTTGGGTTGTTACATGTATTTACCTGTCTTTCTCAGAATGCCTGCTCATTTTCAATGCTGCCTTCTCGGAAGGCTCCATCTGCCTCAGTGGCATTTCGTGAGAATTCAGAGTGTGCTCAAGAAGTCTCCCTTCACCTAAGGGAGAAAAAAGAAAGTTAAGTTTGCTCAATATATTTAATACTTCATTTCCTTTTTCAGGCATTTCACCATGATATAATACCAAGGATAGCAGAAATAACTTCAGGTTTTAAAACACAGATTTACTTCAGATAAGACAATTTGCATAAAACCACTTCCACTAATCTATCTTACTGTGACTGCTTCACATGGGCAAAGTCAGAAAACAGATGAAACTGTGACAGCAAATAACTGAGTCACAGAGGAACACTCTGTCCATAATGTCACAGATTTGTTCTTCCTTTGTCTCATTGCATTTATTCACAGACCCAGGGAATATCAGGAATATGTGACAGTTGTATAAGAGAGAGAGAAGCAGCAGCCTGAGAAGGATCTGACAAAGACACAAACAGGCATTTTTGTCAGTCACAGAGTAAATGGCTGGATCTTTTATATGTTGTGGGGCTTTTTTTCAATCTTCGATCCTCAAGCAAATCTAAACACAACCATCTAAAAAAGGGTGCTTTCTTTTTTGATCCAGTCCTCATAACTGAGTCTCATGCCACGAAACTGCAGTAGAAGAAAATTACTTCTTTTGCTTTACACATGGTGTTTTCTTTCAGCCCATGCATCTTTTTGTGGGGGAAAAAAATAATCAGTTCAACCACTGATAATGCCTAAGTTATTAAATAGAACTCAAATTTTTCATTATTCCATATAATCTTCCTTAAAGCTGACAATGAAAGGTCAGACTTGCATCTGAAAAATGTTTCAGTGAGCAATCACATCATGATGCTATAGGTCAGACCAGAACTGTCATGAAGTCTTCAGTTAATTCAGACCAAGTGACTAAATCACAAAACTAACCCTTCCCAAATGTAGTTTTTTAACATTCTGAAGATATGTATTAAAAGTGCCAGCAACACAACAGCTCAGTTTAGGTGAAGCCCACCCAAAGCAATCCCCAGGCCACTCCATTCATGCCAGTGGAGGACAGGGGTATCTTTTTCACAATACCTTCACTTGTGGATGTGGGAATATTTTTTTTTTCTGTTACAGGGTTTTCTTCCTTTGAGATTTTCATGTATTTGGACACAGGTTCTGGAGCATATCTCCGAGGAACTGGTGTCATCAGAGGAGATTTTTCTGTATGAACCCCAAGACTTCGAAATTGGCTTGAATATGCTTCAGGAAAAAAAAGGTACAATTATTAAAATGTTAACAATTTTCTTGACATGAAACAAATTTAGGAAGAACAATGTGCCAACGTTACGAGTTTTTCCCAAAGATGAAACATATCACAGAACCAGGTCAAAAAGAAAAGATGAAAAATTTCATCCTTCCAAGTGGAAGGAATCAAATAAGAAACCCAAACATACTATGAACATTACAAGCTTTCAGATTCTCTCTCAGTAAGGTTCCTTTAGGTTAAGTTTACGCCTCTCTTGGTATAGACAAAGTAATTAGTAAACACCAAACCCTCAATTTAGTTTAAGCTGGAACATTTTCAGAATAAGTGTTGTATGTTACATAGGCAAAAAAAACCCATTATACAGAAAAAATGTTTACTACTTACTGCTGATGTGATGTACAATCCAGTATTAATGGAAACAAAATTTATGCACAACACTGACAATAAGACACAAGGAGTTTGTCTTCACCTTGGGCAGCTGGACCACTGGTAGGAAATAAAGCCCTCTGACAGGAAGGTACGTGGTGAGTGAGCAGTCGCTGTTCTGGCTTCTCAGACTGTTTTGTCACGAGACTGGAGGGAGGCAGGTGATTTTGCTGCAGGGCTCCCTTGTTGACTGCAGAGCTAAGGAGATGAGACTAAGAGACAAAATTACAAAGTATTTCTGATCTATGCATTAGTTTCCCAAGTAAAACTCTAAACATTTTGAAAAGTCTTTTTGAAAAGTCATTTACAACAACCTCAGAACACAGAGGTGTTTGGGCATCATTCTGCCTTCCAAAAAGGCATGGAAGACTCTCCAAATAATTTTAAAAACTCTTCTTAGAGGTTTATTCTGTATGGCTACTTATAAAATGCAAGTTACTTCAATTACAAAGTTCTAAACAATTTCTCAGTGGCAATGGGGATGCTCTACAATTTTCACATGTACTTTCCACAGACACAAAGATTAGGGGAGGGAAGGGAACAGATACCTAGGAAAGAACTTGAACTACAACTTTTCCCAGAAAGCTCTAAGCTCATGTGCTGGCCACTGGATCTTTCTTTATAATATTAAAACATAATTCACATTATTCTAACATTAATAAATGAGACACAGATTAAATGATATTGCATTGTTAACTTAGATACCTGAATATTCATTTGTTGCTCCTGTAACTTCTCCAAATGCTGAATCCTTTGCACCATAAAAGCATTCATTTGTTTTTCAAGCTCACTGACTCTTTCATGGCAGTGGGGCTGCTCCTGTTGAGTCTTCATATTTGTTTGCTGTTCAGCAACATGCTGCAGATGTCTGTCTGTCTCCTGTAGTTTGTGAATTAATGCTGAGACTGAATTAACTTGTGCTTCCAAATCATTTTGAACCTGCAAGAAGAAAAAAGGGGAAAAAGAAACGGAAAGGAAAAATCCTTACTGCAAAACAGGTGCAAGTATGGAGCAAACAAAACATCCTTCCCATCATCACGGAGTGATTTGCTTCCCAAAACAGACAGATAAAATAAGAGGTTGCCCAAATATCTGGTGCAAAACTATGAAATTCTTCTCGAAGATAAATCAAATGGTCTCTGTTCATTTACCCATTTCATAGAATCACAGCCTGGTCTGGGTTGGAAGGGACCTTAAAGATCATCTTGTTTCAACCCCTCTGAATGGGCAGGAACACCTCCCACCAGCCCAGGTTGCTCCCAAGCCCCATCCAACCTGCCCTTCAACACTTCCAGGGTTGGGGCAGCCACAGCTTCTCTGGGCAACCTGGGCCAGGGTCTCACCACCCTCACAGCAAAGAATTTCTTCCTCATGTTTCATCTAAATCTCCCCTATCCTAGTTTTAAACCATTCCCCCTTGTCCTATCACTGCAAGCCATTGTAAAAAGTCCCTCCACAGCTTTCCTGTAGCCCCTTCAGGTACTAGAAGGCTACATTTAACCAAACCCAAATTAGTTCTCCTTGTTATATCCATCAGTCAGTCTAAAATCACTAACTCAGAGAACTCTGAGTAGACACATTCAGTCTCTGGCTTTACTACCAATAATTTCAGGCTTGCTTAAGTACATTTACTATGTTAAGAGGACAAAGAACTAATATAAAACCACAAGCTACTTACTCACTTTAATAAGTGGAGCTGTAGTAGCAATTGCAGCAGCAGTTGCTGCTGCGATGGTTGTTGCAGAATCAGCTTCACTGGTTGCTGACCTGGTGTCATGACCAACACTTTCCTTTTTTCCTTTGGAGTCATTTCCCAAGAGCTGCACCTTCACCTTCTTAGGTACAGGAGGAGCACTTTTAATTCTATACAAACAAACAAAGCCTGTAAATAGCATTGTTTTCCCCATATCCTCTCCAAGCAAATTGTTTCCCACACGTAGCATTGATATCATTAAACATTTCTGCTTGAAGCCTTTAGCACCTAAGAAATAATTTGATTCTCATCTTTTAGCATAACATGAGAAATTTCTCAGTATTGTCTCACAGACTCTATTATAAAAGGCTTTTCACTGTGATGACTGCAATGAGGAGGATGTTTACAGGCTGTATTTTGCAAACTTCAATGTTCTAGTAGCGAAGTCCAACTGAATTTCTGATCTCCAATTTCCAGCCTCTGGGCACACAGCATGGGTCCTTATCTGTCTTTAAAAATACGATATAGTTTTGACACTAAATTAATTATATATCAGAGCAGATCTTGCCTCACACTTGTATCATTAAATCATTAATTGAAACAGTCTAAAGGCATTGCTGAAAATAGGTAAAATAAGCAAGATACTCCAGTGAGCTCTGAAATGATAAAATAAACTGAAAACATCTTTATGAGCAGAAAGAGAACAATAAAGAATCCTTTTTCCTTACCAGCTGTGCCTTCTGGCAGAAACTAAAGTAGTACAGTAGTGGACCTGTACAGAAACAGAACAGCTGAGACACTAACAACAACATATACTTACTTTTGCTTTAACACAGCTCTCAAAGCCTCTTTCTGACCAGTAGCATATTGAGAAATTAAAACATCATCTGTGGGGAAGGATATAATATATACTTTGTATATAACTGACACAGAATTCTATTTGAAAGGTAGGCACAAAGTGTTATTGCAACAACATGTCCAATTTTTTTGCAAAGAAGCTGTTGCCTGCACATTATCTATGGCAATAAAAACCTGTTTCTGTTCACTAAGTAGCAGACTGATTGAAACTGCCCAGAAGACTCAGAAGTTAAAAGGCATAAAAAAAGTGATTTCTTAGATTCTTAAGGATTAAAAAGATAAATTTTTATGGTATAGGTTGCTTGCAGGAAAGCATGCATTGTAGTACAATTACTCACAAGAGGAAAATCCATCCAAACAAGGTCCCCTCTCCCCCAAATTGTCTTACCAAAACAATGAATAGTTCAATTAACAAAAGAAATCTCAACATTCTGGTGCACTGGTAGAAGTCCCTCCCATTTACACACAAGAGCTAGATAAGCTAGTGTAATGCCAGCAAGACTGATGTGAAATTTGCAAAATTTAAGAACATAAATCACAATTATGGTCTTTTTATCAAAGAAACATTTGAATATTTTCATTTAAAAACTTCTAGGTTGAAGAAAAATATCTTGGATAAAATTTTAAATCCCTTTTCCTCTAATGAATCAGGTTTGTTACCAAAACAAGGGCCGTAGCAGTACATCCATGTGTCTTACCTTCAGGTCTTCTGCTATCTTCCAGCAGCAGTGAAGGATCTTCTCCTCGAACTGCAGCTTCTCCAGGATTATCCTTCAGAAGAAGGAGAGCAGAAAAGTGTACATCAAAGCCTCTGGTACCAGCAGCCAAAATTTTAGAAGCAGATGGAATTTCTGAATACAAAAACGTAGCCATCTCCACACACAAACACAAAGTCTTGGCACAAAACATTTAAAGACCTCTACCTCAGAACCATCTGGTCTTTGTAGTCCAAGAACTCACATGGCATTTTAGGGAAAAAAAAGCCTAGAAACACAATTCAAATTAAAAGCATTCCCAGTGCTGATGCAGCATATTCTCCTCATTTCTGGCCATAGAAGCAGCAGTGAAACTGGGTTTAAGTTTATACACGTTGCTAATCTCAAACAATTAAGAATTAAGTACACATAACACTGCAGAACTGGAGGGACAGAACTGACTTTTCTTTGAGTGCAACAAAGTCTGAGGAGTCACAGAGGCAAGCAAGGAAAGTAAAAGTCTTCTACTCAACATTATTTGCAGGTGGAGTTCTCCACCATCATTTTGAGACACTTGTTCAGCTCTCTAGGTCTGCTTTGAGCCATGCAAGGACTCTCCTGGAATCCTGTCCCAGGACAGGTTCATTTTCTCCCCATGCACACTCACTACAGCATGGATGCCCTACAGACAAGTTTCCATTCTATGTAAGACACAACAAACAAATTCAAAGGAAAAAACCTTTTTAAGTGTTACAGACTTCCATATAAATTTAAGTCCATGTCATTACCTATAATACAAAGAGGGAAAAAAACCCAAAACAAAACACCCCAAACACTCTACTAAACGTTTTAGCTTTTTCTATCTAACATTGTGCCACGTGTAACTACATTTTCAGAGGAAAAATGATGCTAAAATTTAAAAACATACCTTTGTATTTGCTATGCAACAGGCAAACAAAGCCCCTTCAAACACTTCAGCATTAGCATCACATCAGCAGCAACTCCAAGAGGAAAGCAGCTGCACAACTATTATGCAGAAACTGAATCAAATATCTGAGGAAACTTTTTGGGAAAAATGCTGTTCTCCTAGTCTGGAACTTCAGGAAGCAACAGTAACTTTTCTTACCATTTGGGATAAAAACATGGGCTCTGTAGAATTTTCTACTGAAGGCAGATGTTCTGGATGTCCTTTAGTACTTGAGACTCCTAAAATAAAAGCAGTTTCACTGTGGTCATAATGATTAATTACTTCTAAAGCATCTTCAGTATACCTTGACTAACCCAAACCTCAGCCTTTCCTCTGCCAGTATCTTTAAATCTCTGAACATAATGACTTTCCTATCACAAATGACCACAGGCATCCCCAGCTGAAGCTAACAAACATTCATCAATCCTGTGAGTGTGGATTATAGGCTTGTTTTACCAGCCATGAAAACGTCACTGAGAAAGAAAGCACTGAACAACCAACACTGTCCAGCTCAAATTCAAGTCTACAGATCATGGGAAAATAGAAAGTTACTTATCTAGAGAGAGAATTATAGTTGTCTGAGAACATGTTTTACAGAAGGACACTAAGGACTGCACACACTGTGGTTGTGTCAGAGACTAGTTTGTCTGCAAAAAATTTTAAGCTGTTTGAATCTTGACCCCCCCCTCCCCCAAAGACAAAAAGCCCCTCCCCAAACTCCAAAGACTGTAATTGACCTACATTTTATAGAAACTTAAGGACAACTCGACCTGGCTAGATAAGCAGCACAGATTGTGTCGGTGTTGAATCTGATGTGAAACAAACCAACTCACCAACCAACCACACACACACACCCCCCCCACACACACACACACACAAAGCCTGTGAAGGAGCAGCGATCCCTGCAGTGCCGGAACACAGACATTCCTCAGAGACAGAGCTGCTAGGTGACCGAAAACACTTCCCAGAGCGTTTCTCTCACACCCACCCACCCGGGCCGGGCTCCCCACGCACCCGGGGCCGCGCTGCGGGACGAGCCGCGGGTCCCCCCCTG